TTGGTTGAATTTAAGATCATTCTTTTCTTCAATTGAAACGAACGGAGATAGAATTAGATAGATTCCTTAAATATTTTTTTGGATATTTTTCAATGTTCCAACTATTCACAAAACGTAAGAAACGGATGAATAATTATCTGATTTTGAAAGAAATTGAAGAATTTTTTAGAATCTTATAAGATTCATTTTCTCTTTTTTCTTTGATAGATGGTCAGAACTTCAAATTTTGTATAGACTGGAAGTGGATTATATCAAAGTTCTTAATTTGCCGATGGAAACATAAAATATTTGACTTAACTAATTGCTATATTCACTCCAAAACAAGTTAGGGCTCATCAATTTATCATAGAATCAAATTGGTCCAAGATCGATTATGATACACGCAAAGAGCATGTTTGATTTGATTCAAAAATATCAATAAAATTAACCTTTTTTAATCTTTTTTTTCCACACGTATATTCAAATTGCCTTGCTGAAATAAATGGGAGCCAAACTTGGATTTTGAGGGACCAATTTGTATGCTGAAGATGAAACAGAAACCAAATCAACTTGGCCTGTCAAGTATACCATAACTTTTATTTTTATTTATTTATTTATTCATTAACCAAGATCAAATGTGACAAGAAAATAGTTTAATTGATGTTAAAGGGGCATCAATTCAAATGTCAAAACAAAATTTTATTGATAGAATGTCTTCATCATCAATTTAGATTATGTAGAAGAATTAGTTCACCAATCCTTAACACTTGAAAAAAAATATATTTTAATTTGCCGACATCGTAAAGTTATAAATTTTGATTTTTTTTTTTTATAAAAGAAGTCGCAACTATTCAAGTATTATTATTATTATTATTATTATTATTAAGGATAATTGAAAATTTTAAAATTAATCAATACTTATGGATTTTAATAGTCCACATAATTTAGATCTAAACCAAGGTTTAAATCAATCAAAATCACATGGCATTCATATCCGTCAAGGGCCCCAAACTTAAAGTTTATTATTATGCAGAGCTTAGGGACCAAAGTCCAAAAGGGGTATAATTTATAAGTAAGGTCTTTATTTTTTGAGTACTTGCCATGTTTAATTTATGAAATCTAAGTTCGAACTTTAAAATTAAAATTTAAACTGAAAATCAATTTTAAAGCATATAAATGGATGAGTTCGAGTTTAAATTTAAAATTAAATTTGTTTAATTATTTATTATTTTCAACTCTTTGAAAAATATTTTAACAATATATAGATAATAATCGTAAAATACTTGCTTCGTATATAACTCAAAATTATAAAAAAATAATTAAAATTATAAACTAAACTATTTAAAAGCAACTTCATCTCAAAACAACATCCAATCAGAATAATATCAAATACCTACAATGCAACCATTATTTTTCATCATAACTTTCAAATCATACTCTTAATTTTCATTTACAACAACAATATCAAATTAGGCCTCATTGATTTTTTTTTAAATATTGTAATTAATTATTTTAAACTTTATTTAAAACTAATAAAAAATTATTTTTAATAAAAATATTTATGAATCGAATCAAAATTAGGTAAAATTTGAGATTTTATTCAATTTTCCTTATCCAAAAGGGCAAAGGGTTCAAATCTAGAAGATTCCATGAGGTGACATGTCCCCTTGTTGTCTAGCGTAGGCCCTCATCATCTAACAAATTAATTAATTAATTAATAAATCTCCATCAGCATCAGCCAGCTTATGCCAAATTGTCATCACGATCAACCTTACTAGTCTAATAATAATATTATTTTCATTTTGCCGTAGGGTTTAGGTAAATAAAATTTTAGGTAAAAAAAATTATCTCATATTTTTAATAAAAAATCATATAAAATTTATAAATTATTCATAAAATAATTATTAATAACAACAATTAAATATAAATTTTACAAATAAAATATTTAATTTTATTAATTTAACCAATTTATTTACTTTTTGAAACATGCCTTTCTTTCCCTCTATCTGATTCTTAATTTCTGGACAAAAAATTTGACAGTGATGTGATTTCTTGAGAATCAAGTTATCTCTTTATTGAAATAACGTTTATTTTATATAAACAAATGTGTCCACGTTTTATCTCTTAATCTGTCTTCTCTTTAATATTTAGGAGAGATTATGTCACTTATATATAGCTTTAATTTTATACATGTGAAAGCATATTAACTTTTAGTAAAGCAAATTGATACTTATTTTACATAATATAATACTAACAAACTCACAAAGATTAGTTTAGGTTTCTTTTTTTTTTTTTTTTTTTGTCAATTAAGATTTAATTCTTAAAGAAACACTTCGAAAATAAAATTATAAATGTATCAAAATATTGATATCGACTTGAGTGAAGCATCCTAAAATCGTCAAAAAATTAGGTTTTTTCATGTAATTTATAAAAATCTTATTCTTTCATCTTCAAAATTTGAATTTTGATTTTTTTTAATTGTAATCCTTACGATTTGTTTATAAGTAGGGACAAGCTGTACTTAATTCACAAATTAATGAAATCGATATAATTATAATTATTAATTAGGGGAATTAATATTCCCATTATCTTTTATTTCTGTAGATTTAACTTATAGCTTGTCGTATATACATCATTTTTATGCTTAATTCAAATGATATTGAAGGATATGTTGATTTTTCTCGAACCCAAATTAAAAAAAAAAGGAAAATATTTTCTTACCATAGCCAAGGGTTTAATTAAGTATAAAACAAAGGCATTTTCCTTGAAGGAGGTTTGGTCATGGCTTCCCTTAGCATGTGCCCAAAAATGTTTACAAAGCAGTGAACAAAGTTTTCCTTTGGTTTGAGGTAAAGAGTCAAGGCATGATTGGATAGGGGAAGATCGGCTCCCCTTGTTATTTATAACATTATTATAACTAAATATCTCTTTAGTTTAATGCAAAGTTACATATCTTGCAGCTGCCAAATCCAAATGGTTGGTATGAGTGTTTATTTTTTTTAATATATTTTTACAAATGATAATATTGAATTCTATAAGTAACTAATTTTTTTTTTATTTAAGATTGTTAGCATTTAATTAATTGTTCACTAAAATTAAAATTTTAACATTTTATTAACAGATCACATAATATCGTACTTAAGTTTTTTAAATTGAAGGTTTCAACTTTTAAATACCACTAAGTATTTATTAAGGATGAAGTAATTGAACAATAATTAGGTTTTCTTGGCTATAAGAGAAAAAAAAATCTATGAATCCTTGAATTTGATACTCAATTTTTTATATATATTAAAAATATGTCAATCTTTTTTAATCTTGTAAGTGTAATTTAAAAACTCCATTAATAATATATAAAATAATTATATATATACACACACACACACACCCAATAGTTTTAGAAAAAAAAGTGAAGAGGGAACAATATAGTACAAAAGATTTTCCTTGTTAATTATAATATTGAATAACATAGAGAAAATGAAAAAAAAAAAAAAAGAGAAGGGAAAATTACTAACAATGGAATTAACAAATTTCTTTTTTGTTTTTACACCCTGATCTCAAATAATTTGTTTGCACAAAAAATCATAAAAAATAAAGAGAATCTCCTTAAATAAATTTAGTGATTTTCCATTTTTAAATCAACTAAATAAAATGAAAACTAAAAACCAATAAATTGATAAAATCAATCAAGCCATGTATATATTAATAAAACCAGGTCACTATCTTAATTTCTTTTTTGCTATCCTAATTAGGTAGTGAGAGTTAGGACTTAAGATTTTTTATCTCAAACTCATAGAATAAAGCATGTGAGAATTATTACGGAATTTTATCATGATTTAATTATAATTATAAAATTTTAACTCTAATGGTAAATTATATATATTTTGTTTTAAATATTTTAATTAAATAATTTTAATTTTAATTTTGTAATTGTATTTATGAAATCAAAGCTCACCTTTTATACAAAAATTGTATGAAAATTCAAAATATAACTAGAATAGTTGAGACATAATTTATTGTCTGATTGGTGCTGTAATCTCAAACAATTTGACTCGCAAACAACATCTCATGGTGCTATAAGATCCAAGCACAAGGGGACTTTCACTCTCTCTAGCGTTCTTTTCTAGGAGATTTGGATCCTACAATTCGATGCATATAGCATGAAGCTTGCCAACACTCGTTGCGTACAAATGGTAGCATCTACACACATTAATCCACAACTTACCCAATCAATAACTCAACAAGTGAGCAGTGGAAATAATATACAATATTACACCACAACCACTTGATACGAGAAAAATCCAAGCAAGGGTTACGAGATTACCTCTATAATCCAACAAACAACATTGACATAAACACTACTAAGACTTGTTCTGACCAAAATCACACATGCAAACTCTATTGTCACTTAATGCAAGAAACCTTTTCAAAATTAACTACTTAATCGAACAAAATAAAAGAGAAAACACTCATTCGGGAATTAAAAGCAAAGAAATTAAAAAAAAAAAGAAAGAAATAATGCAATAATGAACAAAAAAACCAAAAAAAAATCCCCATTAACAAGACACTATGATCATATTAGATGCATATAATGATAAATAAGATATAATAAGATAAAATAAAATAAGATGATAATTATTTTATATTATATTTAATTTATAAGTAAAAAAATAAAATTATAAAAAAATTAATAATTCTCTTAATATAAAATAATTTTCAAAATAAAAAAATTTATTTTTAATTTATAAAATTGAATTTATATATTTTATTATATTTTTAAAAATCATGAAAGAAATTTAAATTATATAAATTTTAGGTACCAAAATCGTCCTCTAATTATTATTGGAGAGATAAAAAAACAAGGTGCACCCTCATGTCGGAAAGTATCCCTCTCTATTTTTTCTCATTCATGCGCGTGGGCCCCCCCACACAGACCCTGTCCCACCCTCTTCCACCTCGCTTAAATATCAACCTCCCGTAACGATTTTCGGTTGACGCCGATTTTTAACTTATCTATTCTCTATTCGACTATTCTTCCCCTTCTCCTACTCGCGCGTTCTTTTCCTTTTTACTTTTTTTTCCTTTCTCTTTCTCTTTTGGAAAAAGCTTTCAAAAACTACGCGTACCTTCCCAACACTAAAACTCACACACCCAAGCCAAAACCCTAGCTCTCTCTTCGCTTTTCTTTTTAGATCCTGTTTGGATGCTTTGAATCCTTTGGATTTTCTCTTTTCCTCTCTTTTTTTCTTTGTTCGCTGAAGATTTGAAGGATGGAGGATAAAGAGGGGGCGGATCCGGGGACCGAGTTTACATCCGATTCGAGCTGGACACTGGCTGGACCTGACTCAGTGTCCGACAGCGTCAATTACTTCTTTGATAGGGAAAGCATTATACTGAGTGAGTTCGGGTGGAATCTACAACCGGACCATGGTGATGAGATTGAGCGGTTAGCTGAACTCGACCGGACTGATACCAAGCCTGATTTGGCGGGAAACTTTAGTGGCTCACATAGCTGTAGTGCATCTGCTGCTGGTGTTTCTGGTTCAGGGAAGGCGTCGAATCCGGGCGGGTCAGCTGATGTGTCGACATCGAATCCGTCGGTGTCGTCGAGCTCCAGCGAGGATCCGCCGGAGAAATCTACGGGCTCCGGCGGGAAACCGCCTGAGATACCGTGAGTAGTAGTGAACACATCATCACCAATGATGAAAATAGAAAAAAATTAAAAAAAGAAAAGAAAAACTGCCTTTCTTTTTTAATTTTTGGTATTTTGGGGACTGAATCGTAATTAAGTACAATTTTGGTGGGCAAATACAGATTGTAATAAAGGCCACCGGATCAAAAGTCATGCTTCAATAGAGTCTGTCCGTAAGGAAAGGAGAGAGAGGGATGGGTGCAATGGTGTCCGTACACTGGAATTGTCAAAAAGAAACTGCCTTGTTTCATGCAAGTTGGGGGGGGGGGGGTAAGGCAGTTTCGTAATTTTAGAGAAATAATAGGTGCAATTAAGGGAATATAGGGTGAAAAATAAAAGGAGCTTTTTGGCTATTAACGAAGTAGCCTTGAACATCGCCGCCATTGCGGCGGCAATGGCGTGTTTGGAGCATTTTTTTTTTAATTTTTACTAAGGGAAAAAGCGGGAATATAGTTGGGAAAAGCCCCTTTTGATAACTCATCAAATTATATTCTTCTCTTAGTGGGATTTTAGTGTTATTTCTGAGGTTGGTTTTCCATGTTCTTATAGTTTGTAAATGCACTTCACTGCTTTTGAAATACATTTTTGAGAAAACTATAAATGGGCAGTGATCAGACATCTCATGAAAGTTTAAAAGGCCTTTCTTATGAAGATTTAGTAGCATTCCACTTCATAAAATTCTCTTTGCTATAAATGGGCATTGATCAAACATCCCATGGAATCATGGACTTTTAGCATGTGTGCATTTCATGGGAAACTTGTTTGTATTTAGAATGTGCTAGTAGAATACTGATTAGGTAAACTTAGTTTTTCATCACATCATTAATGGCTGCATGATATGAAGTATACAATATTCAAATGTTTTCTTTATTATTTTGAAGATATCTACCTTAGTGGTTGCATGTTTCTTGGCTCTTCACTTTTGAATCTGTTTCAGTGCATACAATCAATTTGCTTGAATAGTTCCTGACAAATTGATAATAGCTTCCTTTTTCGTTTGTTTTATAAAATTTACCACAATTTAAGTTGGAGTGATGAGGAAACTTATCCAAGTAATATTTACCTTCTTCATTAACATTTTTCAAGTACTTAATTTTACGGTAATACTTCTAATTTTTTCATAGGAACTGTCATTATGTGTTTTTTTCTTTTTTTTTTTTCAACCTTTGTTGCAAATTGAAACATATTCATTAATTTTTTTTCAAAGAAAACCTTGTTTTTCATTTTGATAATTGTAGGTGGAACGTTTTTGTAGGAGTAAGGTAAGGAAGAAGGGGCAAAAGCGAATTCGGCAGCCACGTTTTGCATTTATGACCAAGAGTGAAATTGATCATCTTGAAGATGGCTACAGGTGGCGAAAATATGGACAAAAAGCTGTTAAAAATAGTCCATTTCCTAGGTCTGTTGCTATTTCTCTATTATAATTCAGAGAAAACTATTGACATATTACCCATTTTTTAAATTAATTCGGTGCCTGTTTTCTGTTAAATAAATTAAACTTTAAAGTGAAACATTGTAAACCATATTCACTGTTCAATATTATAATGAACTTTCTTGCCAGAAGTTGGTGTATGATCATTTTTACATTCTTTGCTCTTTGTTAATTAAGAGGGAGATTCCATCAATTCATTGACAAAAGATACCTGAAATCAAATGGTTGTAAACTAGAGTTAGTAATATCTTTCTTCAACAAAGTTAAATATTAATTATTAAACCACTATTGATATAGGGGTATATTCCATCATTTCATGACTATATGATTGCTAGGACTCTAGATTACCATTTTCTCTGAATGTTAGGTCCACTCCTTTTCATTTGACTCTCCATTTTCTTAAACCTCTAATTTTAACTTTCAACTGCATAAATATTTTTGCTTAATTCATATTTTATGTGAGAATGCACCTACCCATTCATTATCTAAAGTCAAATTTAATTACAAGCTCATACACATCGGAATATAGAAAATTGATTTAAAACAAAAAACGGTCATGACCTAAAATTTTTCCATGGAGGGTAGTAAAACTCTTAATAGGGCTCATTATGTTTGAGGGCAGTGAAATTATGACTTCATGCTTAAAATCATTATTGATGGAAATTTTCAAAATGTTGTGCAAAATCTGACCCACATATTTCACAGGAGCTACTATCGCTGCACAAATAGCAAATGCACGGTAAAGAAGAGGGTAGAACGCTCCTCTGAAGATCCCACCATTGTCATTACCACATATGAAGGTCAACACTGTCATCACAGTGTCGCATTCCCCCGTGGTGGACTCATCAGCCATGAAGCTGCGTTTGCTGGTCAATTTACTCCTGGAGTCTCACAATTTTATTATCCAGGGTCACAGTTACATAGGGAAATTCCTCCAAGCATAACACAATCACACCAATTACCCATTGACGGAGGAGAATCTCGTGAGCTGCCCCAACCCACGCCAAAGCTCCCCACAGATGAAGGGTTACTTGGGGACATTGTACCTCCTGGAATGCGTAACAGATGAGAAAGAAAATATGGTATGCATAGCTTACTTCAACTATGTGTGCTTGTTCACTTGTCTATGTCATGTGCTTCTTGTATGTTGACTGTTGAGAGAGGGGAGGAGGGGATGAGAGAGAGGATCAGTACAGTATCATTTTTTTTTTTTTTAACTCAGAAGAGTAACAATCAGTACTTAAGGAGGTTGGACCAATGTTCAATTATGAAGCCGTCAGGCAGATGCACCCTTCTTCTCATCAAGCAAGTGGGCTGAGTATGAAAAGCTTAAGCAGTGGGCATTTACAGGTTACGGCTTCAGCTTAGTTATGGCTAAGTAATTAAACCTCCAATGGCCATGAGGCCTTCACAGGACTAGAACTTCTTAGCTACTAGGTAGTGGACCACCGATTAATATTTGACATTTAACCTCCCAAGCATGAGATGTAGAATCATTCGTTGACCAGTCCTAATCTATCTTGGAGCAATTAAATGTATCGGAGCAGTAACACATAGGACCGACTGCGACCTGAATGTTGATGGATATACATATACTGATATTTGTAGTGATATGGTAAATCGGAGTCTTCCTTGTTATTTGAATACTTGTTTCCTTGCATCAATACATCACGACTAATGTCCGGTGCATAGTTTTATTGGCTAGTTACTAATTTGTTGGCTACTATTACTTCAGATAATTTATTGTTTTGTGGCCTGCCTTATGTCTTTATGCTGCCTGCTTTATTATGCTTATCAGGCATTTGGAAAGGCCTTTCTAGGCATGATCTTGATAGATTGTAACTTTAGTACTAGTGAAAAGACTTTTAATAAGCAGTTGAATCTACTGGATTGACAGTTTTAGATGTTCTCCTTGGTAAAATTGTACCCCAAGTTGAGAGGGTTATCCGTAAAGCACATTTGATAGGCCTCTAGTGCACCCACGTAACTATATGCAGCGACAAGTTATTTTGGAATTTGGTTTTATAGTGCCTAATATTGTTTTAAGTTAGTGAAGTTGAAGAAGATTCAAGGGTTGCTTGAGTTTGTGTAAGAAATTGGTTTCAGTCACTCTTCAGTCAACTTATATCACAACTTCGTGATTACTGCAATGATTACTGTGGTGTGGGTATATAGATGTTTTATGGGATCTAAATAAGCCTTGCTTGATTCTGTCTTTCTGTACGGTAGTTAGTATGCCTGATCTGGAAAGGGAAGGTTTCTTTTATATACCGTCATTATCAACATTATTATGCTAACCGATCATTAGGGAAGGAAAAAGAACTATCGGTTTATACCATGTGCGAAAAAAACACGTGCCTGTTTATGGACAAAAGAAAATGCAAAAAGCAAGTTTAGGTCTTTGTTCAACACTTGTGGAGGTGACGAAAAGATGAAGGAAAGTAGAAAAAAAAAGTAAGTAGCAGTGCAAAATGATAAATAGAATATATCATGCCTGTTGCTTTGGAACAAAGCATAAATCAAGAGGAGAATCCAACTACTTGTATATAGCAATATTGCCTTTTAGATTATAGGTTTGGCTCTTTTTTCTTTTTCTTTTTTTTTTTTCTATGTTCATCTTCTTCAGAAAATAATAGTAACCCTTTTTCAGTTTGTGCAGGCCAGGCAGTGATTGATATATAAACTAAAGGTTACTCTTGATCTGAGGACCCATTCCAGATGTCAGAAGAGCCAAGCCATTAGTCAAGGCAATTTTTTCAAGATGGAAGTGAGTCCTTTACCTGAAATTACACAAATATTACTTAGACAAATCAGGTATTGGTCACATGAGTTCATTCTCTCATGGGCAGATTTATCTAACCTCAGGCTTCCAATTCTAATATATGCATGTGAATATTGAAATTCCTGTTTATAAGGTTTAAAAGTTGAGGATTTCGATCACTGCAGTTCATAGCATTTCTTTTTAGCTGCAAAAAAGATTCGAGCCGTTAGGTTGCAACTAGGCTACAGTAGTAGTTGTACTTGGTATCTTTCTTATAATTATAGTATTATATTTAAAGAAATGTGAAAAGAACCACATTTTGGATCTATTCTTCTGCTTTTTTTTTTCCTACTTCTTGTTGGGTGTTCACTCTTTGCCCTTTGTCGAGCTCTTCATGGTTCGTACGTGACTGTGAACTGCGGGGAATCGATACAATCAATAGAAAAAAAAAGGAGCTGTAAATTGGGCCACTTGTTTAATGGCTCAGTTGCGTGGATTTCAATGTTGCTTCAGAGTTAGGCGGTCAGCCGACATGCTTTTTTTAAACTCTCTCTCTCTCTCTGTATCTCTCCCTCCCGCCGTCTTACTTTTTCTCGTCTCCTTTTTTTTTTTTTAACCTTTTCCGCTTGGAATTTACTTTAGGGACTCTTTTTTTCACCAATTTTTTTAACACTTTTCTTTTAGGGTTTCGTCATATATGGGACGTGATGAGCTTCTTGTCTTTACTATAACCCAAATTGAAATCAACGATTAACTGTTGGCTCTATTAGTTTCAACTCAATGATTCATCATCAAGGAATATAAACAGTTCAGTCAGGTAGCCCATGTACGAATGTAACTATCATCTGATCTAAGATATCCTCTGTCTGTCTACCCTCTCTAACTCCTATAGCTAAAAACATTTGCCATTATCGGTTTTATAAATGCATGTGTATACATGGTGGGAGAGGATGCTTGTTTTTCGAGATATACATAGAGAAAGTAAAAATTAACTTAACACTATAAAATTAAAAAAATATATTTTTTAACGATTAATTTTAATAAATCCACGAATGTAGTTAAATAAAAATTTTTCTATTTTTATTTGTTTCTTTTATCTGTTAAAATCAATAATTAAAAAATTTTATAAATTTTTTTAGTTTTACACAATATAAATCAATCTCTTTTCATATATATCTCTCTCATATGTGATAATAGTAGAGTACGAAGGGGGGCTTTGGTCATAGATGAAAAGAGAGACTTAATCTATTTTTTTTATACTTCATATTGCCAAAAACTAATCGGGGGTTAATAGAAAAATATTGCTAAAGGGTAAAATCTTTAAAGTCCTAAGCAGGAAAGAAAATTTTAATCCATTTCTGTAACCTCATGGTGAATCATGCATTTTTATTACACATTTTGTCTTTAAATGTTGTTACCCTCATAACTCTGGTATGTAAAATATATTTAATTACCTACATATTTATTACATTGCTTTCCCTATATAACCATCTATATTTGTGTAAAATTTTACCCTTTTGTCTTTGGTTCATGTATTATATCACTAAATTTTTTTAAACAATAAATAAAGTCTAATTTTGCAGCCATTTAAATATTATAAATTGACCTAAAAAGTTTGGAAAAAGCTACTTGAACAAGAAAAATAACTTTAACAGGTATGAATATGAGAGTGCCAAAATTTTCAAGTCCTGAAGTGCAAATTTTTTTTTGGAAATGAAAGATATTAAAGAGGGGGCAGTTAATTTAATGGGGGCGCGTGAACGCAATAAATCCCCAGCCTTTGTAGCATGTGTGGTTTACGGACCTTAACAGACCTGTCTGACCGTACACGTGTCATATTGATTTCCCTGTCCCCCCAGACTGATCATCGTACGATAATCCCGCATGGCGGTGGCAGAAGAAGTGGCGCTTTATTCGCCGCTTTGTTTGCGGGTTGGTCCCCGACCTTTCATTTCCTCGGCGATTCTTATTCTTTTTCCGATTCCTCGTGTGGCAGTTAGGCAGTTAGGTGAAGTTTGTTTTGCGTCATTCACAGCAGTTGGACTTTTTATGGGGTGGACCTCTCTGCTCTCTCCTCAGTCACTTGCTGCGACTGTGAGCTTTCTCCCTGCTTTAGGATAGGGTAAAGGATTAAAAATATCTTCGAATAAAAATTTAATAACTATTTAATAATTTATTATTTTTATTATAATAAATTAAGTCTTTCAAATATTTATTTATTTTAATTAAATTTTTATTAGAAAAAATTAATTAATTATCAATATTAATTTTTATTTAATTAAAGATTCAATTGAAATAAAAAATATTTAAAATTTTAATTGATTCAAAATAAAAAATAAAAAATTTAATTTAATTTAATTATAATAAAATATTAAAAATTTAAATAATTATCAAATTTTTATTCAAAAGCTTTTTTTTTTTAGTCGTTTTGCCTTTGACATAAAACTAAATTTCAAATGATTGTTTTTAAGCTTTGACCTAATGATTAAAATCGTTTAAAAAAATATCAAGGATTTGGTTTCAAATTAGATCTCTCTTCTCTCTTTTATTTGTATTAAAATTTTACTTTCCTGATGTAAAAAAAAAAAATTCAAATGGTTTGCTACTTAAAACTTCAATTGGACGAGGATTCAATACCCTTTCAGAGAGATGTCGTACGCATTTTTACCCTTTTAGTACAAAATTTTAAAGCCAAGGTTTTATTTAGTGACACTATTAATATTAAATTTAAAGAAAGAAGTATGTAGTTAATATATTGTTTGTTATTGAATTTAGTAACTATATTGTATTAAATGCAAAAATATTTTTTATACAAAAGATGTTACAATTTAAAAAAAATAAATAAATTGTAAGTGTTGAATTTTAATTTTTAAATTTGACGGATATCATTTTTTAAGATAATTATTTAAATTAATTAAGTTAAAATTCGAATTCATAATACAAAAAATATTTTCTTAAATAGCTTTCTAACCAATGTCTATAGACAACTATTAATTGGACCTTATGTTGTATAAAGCATTTTGTTATAATGTAAGAGTCATTTATAATATTAATCATTTTTTTATGATTAAAAAGTCCATTAAATTCATCACAATCATATTGATTAATTAGGGTTGGATTTCTATAGTCCACAATCTGAACCATCAATCAAAGGGCAAAGCACAAGCGATTAAGGAAAGGCCCCATATCTTTCTATTTCCCAGAAAGGGCAAACCTTAGCCACTCATAACACATACAAATTTTTCTGACGCACAAATTTTCTACTGTCAGTAACAGTAATGGTAACTAATTTTGATTTTTTTTTTTTTAGTGCTTGTTAGTTTTGGTAATGGTGATACATCAAATGGTTCAACCTACCAAATCTGAAATGAATTTCCAATTATTGTTTTATATACCTACCCTGTATGCAGTTTTTAAACCTTCAAGTTTCAATCAAGATAGCATTGAAGATTTCAGCCCAATGTTGATTTTTCATCATTACCTAATGGGCTCATCTTTGATTGGATCATAAGAACCCATACTTCAATGCCCTCAATCACTACCTTCATGATTCAACACCAAAGTCTACATCTTGTCATTATTATGTATATCTCATGTTAAATATATATAAAACATGAATATTATTATATTATATTCATGTCAAACCGTTAAATGAAAATATATCTTTTGATTTTTTTAAATTTATAATTTTTATTAAAATTTTAAAATAAATCTTTTTTATTTTTTTTTTCATATTTAAAAAATGACATTGCAAAGTGCCTTCTTTCTCTCTCAAGCATACACAATCAAAGGATAAGAGAATGTTATAGTAAAGAAACAAGCACAAGGGACATGGTGTGCTGGAATAAAGATTTAAAAACAAATTCTAACACCCTGTCAAATTAAAAGGTAGAGAAAAGAAAGCACCAAAAACAATGAGATTGGGTTTGTTTTGTTTAATGGTAGTTGACAATGCAACAACCTTTGAGCCACAATTTCTTCTTGAACAATAAAAAAAAAGTGAATTATCAGCTTTGATTCATCATAATTCCAAAGACTTATTATCTTCAACCATGTCTTCAAACTCAAGAGTAAGTCCAACCAATCCACGTCTTCCCTCTTTCAAGCTAATCTCAATAGCTCAACAAGTGACATTTTCATTTAACAAAATGAACCAAGCTGCCAACTCTACAAGCTGGTATGAGGGCTGACCTAAATTCTTGAATTGTATTCAATGGGAGAGAACAATGTGATGAGCAAGGCCATTTTAGCAATTATTTATGTGGGTGGAAGGAGATCCTTAACTTAGTTATAAAGGAAAAAAAAAGTTTTGAACTTAAAATTTTACTTAATTGATTCATGTAATTATCCTTAAAAAAGGTATCCAAAAGGTTTGAATTCAAATCTTAATACTTGTAATTCCTTACTATCTTAAGACTTCAATCTTTTTTATTTATTAAAAAAAAATCTTTAAAAATGATTTAGGGGCATTTTCCTAGGAGTATGTTCCAAAGAGAGTTGGAACAAACAAAGGGATTTAACTGTACATCTTTGGTTGTCTTAACATATTTAAATGTGAGTGTACAGTTCTTGAGGCATGTGCTTTTTAGAGGAAACTTCTTTTCCACTCCATAGAATCACACTTTCTTTAATGTTTCCCCATAAAGCAGGTTGTCCTTTAGTTTTTTAAAACAACACTTCAACAGTGGGATTGGTTATATGAAGGACCAAATATGATTGCCTATATGAAATTAAAGGTTTTAAAGTAAAGCTTTTGTCATATAAGTTCAAAAAGAGAAGCCACTGGCCCTTGAGTTTGCTTCCTAGAAGATGCTAATTGACAAATTTGAAGTAACTCAGAGCTGAAAGTGCTTTAACATGGAAAAATGGTGTAATCAAGAGGGAACATAGTTGATAATTTTTCAAGATAAAATAGATAGACAAAGAATTGGAAGTTGTAAGAATGAAGACATAATCCAAGAACATGGATAAAATCAAAAGAAAACAACTTTTAGAAGCAACAGGTGGGGAACATTTACCTTGAATTTGAAGCAAAGGAGAAACACAATTAAATTTACTTGTCTATACAGTCTAAGATCTCTTGCATCATGATGAATTATCCTATGCCAAAAATTTGCTCATTTAGGGATCAAACCCACCATGCCACCAGCAAGAGTCATGCTTCAGTTGCTTCAAATCTACCATGGCATGAGCCCAGCATTCACCATTGCATCTTCTTCAACAGGAGCTGGAAGGTTAAGATCAATTAGAGCTGGCATCTCGGGTGAGTTTTGCTTGATCACCAATGTTCTGTCCTTGGAACCTCCAATAAAATGGGACCTTTTGTGACCTCCTAAAGCTTGGCCTGACTTGAAAACCCTGAAGCAGAATGGGCACTCATGCCCCTTGTTTTTCTTTGATCCCAATCTTTTCCCCGCATTGCCAGATGAACCACGACAAATACTTAGGGTTTTGCCATGTGAAAACTTGGTAACTTTTCTATAAGTCATTGGAACAGGAAAAGAATCATTTGTTAAGCTATCTTCACCGCTATCATGTATTGACTCACTGCAGTCATTGACCTTCGTATGCCTTGCTGTGTGCCCTCCAAGAGCCCTGGGGGAATCGAAGGTCTTCTTACAGGTCAAACACTTATATTTGCTTCCCTTTGAAGAACTGGTGCACAAATATTCAGGACTGTAATAATCATTCTTGGCACTTCTTCTTAAATCATACTTGGTCAAAGCTCTATCTGCTCGATTATCTCCTATTTCACTAATCAAATCCTTTGGAAATTCAGTTTTCACACATTTGAATTTACTCAAACTCTTCCCAAAATTTTCATCAAAGTCCTCGTATCCAGATCCAGACTCCACCTTAAGTTTCTTGGGTCCATTACTAAAATAACCAGAATCAGAATTCTCAGAAGAAGGACCAGACTCAGCAGATTTCAAGTTGTTGTCTCTTTGTTTTTTCATCTTCAAAAGCTCACCACTGTTAGAAACACATTTCATGTCATTCTTAATAGTAATCCTCACATCAATAGATGATGATTTAGCTTCGAAAACGACAGAATTGTTATCTGAAGAGTCGGCAACTGAATTCAATCCTTTCTTACAACCAGAATCCCTTGACAGCAACATCAAACACATAGCAACCTCTTCTTGTTCTTGCTCTATCTCTGATACAGATGAAGAACCATTAGCTAAAGAAACTGAATTATTAGAGTAAACGCCAATTGCCTTGTACCTTATTCTTTTGGATCTCCTCCTCCTACTTGGAGCTGATGTTTCAGTATCTGACTGACTATCCATTACCAGCTTCTGTTTATCACTATTACCTGAATGATCCTCAAACTTCTGAAAGACCCTCTCTTTCTCTGAGTGACAAGCCATGTGACCACAAAGAGCTTTCAAAGATTGGAAACCCTTACCACATTCTTTACAAATCATCTCTTTGAGTAAAGAAGCGTTGCCTGGATCAGAAAACCTCTTGGTTTTCTTGGGGTTCTCCCTCAGGCCATAAGCTGCAGATAGGCCACCAGATTCAGCCTCTGCAACTCTCTTGATGTTTCTAGAATTACTGCTGGAGAGAAGCTTGTTTTTGGAGAGTTCAGCTGCTCCTTCCTCTGCTTCAGCATAATTTTCAATATTCATATGAGTCCTTATGTGACCACCTAAGGACTTCCCACATGGGTACCTCTTGTTGCAAAACTTGCAAACAAACTTCTTCTCTTGATTTTGTTCCATTAAAAATCAATGGAGGTTGATCACTGAAAAACAGAAAATACCCAGTAAAGGAAACAGGATCAGTTGCTCATTTCTTACCTCGAATCTTCGAAAGACGGCATTTTTCATGATCTTTGGCTGTGACCAAGAAGATATCTTGAATGGTGAAGAAGCAAGCAAAGGAAACAAGAATCAAAATCCAGATCAAGGAGGAGAGAAAACAGATCGCAAAGCTTCTTGCTTTTGTTTCAGTGGATATGATCAGACGAGAATCAGGAGTTGAGATGTGACAGTTCCTTGCTTTAAGTACAACAAAAAGATCCGACCCACCTCTTTAAATCCCATTTTTTTCACCTCAACACCTTCCAATGTTTAAACAAAAATACTTTAATGGCTTTTGAAATAGAAAAATCAAAATTTTAAAGGAGATGGGTCGCTAATGATGGCGATGAACAGGCCTATAAGAAGAACAATCAAAGCAAAACCAGGACCCTTTCTCTCTCTCTCTCCTTTGCTTTTGAGTTGTGGTTGGAGGAGAATTCCATGCATGGAAGCAAAAGATTCAAAAGGAAAAGAAAAGATAGGCAGCACGTGTACTCAAGTGAGAACCATTCGGTGAAGGATTGAACGGTCAAGATTTCTGGGCTTTTTTTAATGGGATTGAGGATCCCAGGGAGTGAGGAGTACTGGATCAAATAAATGGATTACATTTACATGGCAAATACTAGACTGAAGCAGCTGCTGCAACATCCAAACTATGCCTTTTGCTTGCAAGCTCACACAAGTGATAGGTCAGCATGGCCGAACATTTTTGGCTTTCAGCTTCCTCCTTTTGCCAACCCACTCAAACAGATCATGCATATGCCAAGATGTTACATTGTGGTTGTCCCTCATTTTTCTTCTCAATTTGTCATTTTCTTCCTTTTTTTTTTAAATAATTTTTGCATTTATTGTATGGTGGGAATTAGTTTATGTTTATGCTAACTTTTATAGAATCAAACATACAAATTTTTACATATTTTTCTTGATTTGAAAATACTATATGTAAAGTTATGTTCAAAATTTAATTCAGATACTTCGTATAGTCATTTATAAGAATAAGTATTCGATAAATTTAAAATTTAAATTTTAATATCTGTAACTTATTTTTTAATATCAAATTGTGATTTTTTTATATAAAATACATGTGGAGTTAAATTTAAGTTTTTTATTTGTGTCATTTATGTAAAATTAATTTTGGGCATTTTACCAATATTAAGACTAATTTTGGGCATATCTTAATATTGGAGAGCCATAAGACATTCAATCATGGCCATCGCTATAGTGGCTAACTGAGGGCAAATGCAAAAAACTGTAATCAGTTCATAAAAAGGATATTTGCTAGAAACAAGGAACTTTAGTAGTAAAATGATTGTCTAAGTTGATAGCCCAAAAGAACATTTATCGTATATTCGTGTTATGAAAAATATTAAAATTTATATATTTATATCATATTTTATACAAAAATTATATGTTATAATTTATATTTATCTAAAAATATTATATGTATTTTTTAATTTTTATTAAATTTATATATAATTATTACTAAAATTTTAAATTTAATATTGTCTTATTTTTTTATCATATTTTAATGTCAAATTTAATCTAAAGTTTGGAGCAGTAGGAATCACGTACTTGAAAAGCATAGTGTCCATGCTCAGCTTTGCCCAATCTCACCAAGTCCTCTTGAAATTCAGGCTGCAATTTCACAGCCAAATGCCTAAATATAAAACCTAATCAATTTCCCTTTCTCTTTTTTTTAGCATTTTTTTAATACTAGAATATATTCCATTGAAGATCAGGTCAAGGCCCTCTTTGTGTTAATCTCAATGTGATGTCGCAATCCATTGCATCTTTTCTTTATTTAGCATTCTCCGCCCCGTTTCTTGCGTGCAATTGCAACTTCCTTGACCAGGTTCATTTTTTAATAGCATGCACAGGGTGTTACTGTGTTAGGCTTTTTTTATATATAAGATTATCAAAATTTAAATCTTGATTATTAAAATTAAAGGTTTAATATTTTATTAACAGTCATACGATTATTGATAAAGGTGTCGAGATTCATTTTAATGATTAATGAAATTTTTTTTATCATATTATCATATTATTTTAAAATTTAATATACTTGACGATAAAATAATATTATAATATGATGAGAATCATTTTTCTTCAAATTAATTTCTCATTAGCAAGCTCATCTTGGGCCAATAACTTGTTGCTCCATAAATTCCACAAACAGGAGAAACTAATGCAAAACTTGATCATGGAAGTGTCATATTTAACCATCCTCTTCAACCCTTCAAAGTGTTTTAAAAAGGTGGAGAGAAAAAGAGAAAGGGGGAGAGAGGAGAATTGCCTTTTCTTTTTATGTCCAACATATGATTTTACCAAGTTGTAAATTTCTTTCACATTAGATAATAATTTGGGGTTAGATTCAAGGTGACACAAGACATTGGATTCTTTGTTGTTTTATTCTTTGTTGTGAACTAATCATCATTGGAGCTGACCAAGAATGAACCAAGAAACCATCTTTGAAAGCTTGACTTTTGAGATAAGAAGACGATTCCATTGATAATGAGGCCAATGAAGTGAAGTCGGCTTGAAAGGCATGGCTATGAATAGACATACATACTGGCCTGTTGATTTTGTTGGTTTCTTGCTAATAACTTTTGACTGGTTATAATACTATCCGCTTATTGCATGCAGACGCTAATACAGAGGGTTGAAAACCAGAACTTATCAGATTTATTGATGGAATTGATGCATAACTCACCATTTATCACAAACACAAATTTATAACAGAATTAAAGCTGAACTTAGTGTGAGTAGGAGCCAAAACCCACGGAACAAAACCACCAGGGCTGCTGCCGGAGGAAGGAGGCATCACGGCAGATCCAAGTGCTGCTGGTTGCTGCTTATGGTCGGGACTGCTGGACTAGCATGCAAGGTGGACAGAAGCTTGGTTTGTTTAGAGAAGGTGCACTATTCTCTTTCCTTTAATCAACTGAATTGCGTTAGCTCAATCACTTGTATACATTATGAGAGTTTGAATCTCCTTTGTTAGTAAATAATGTCACATCCCATTTTGAGTCCAAATACGAAATTAGAATGGAATCACACTCAACTAAATTCATACTATGTGATCGGATATATCATAATATAATTACTCATTAATTTGACTTTTTTTTTTTTTTTTTTGGTTTCAAAGTGGGCAGTGCCATACATCAATAGGTGAGGGGGAGAGGCTGGGGTTCCTATGTCTTCTTTAAGGCTTACTTGGCCACTAGGCCAAGCAGCTGAAGACATTTAATTTGACATTGATCAAATATAATCCGAAACAAAATGACTTTGTAAATTCACTACATAAGATAAATACAACATCCCAAACTCAGCTGTCATTGACACTAGAGCTAGGAGCTTCCTTTTATGATGAATTTGTCAGTCAGCTGCTTTGAGGTTACAGTCTAACCAGTCAGAAAGAGGAAACGCTTAAGGAGAAGCAGGGCCAAGAAACAAGTTGGAATCAGTACAATCGCATTCAGCAGATCTAGAATAGCAATCCCCATTCATGAACACAATTAAGACACACAGATCATCATAATGCATGAACCATCCTCAACCTTTATTTTCTTAAAAATAAAAAACAAAAGAATAAAACAAAACATGAAAGCCTCCCACAAACATATTGTTTGGTTAATGAATTAATTAATCTATACAAAATGTGAACTATAAAGATATCGCCAGTATTTTTATACAAGTGTAACAAGTCAATGCCTCTAATCAGAGCTACTTACCTTATCCACAGAGATTCTAACAAGTTTGAGCTTAAAAATCCAAGAGACTACCCGCAGCATTCGAGCCTATACAAGGGCAATGTACTGTATTGCTATGCCATTTACAAAAGCAGAAAGATCCCATTAAGAGCACTTTTAACACATGCTGGGACATGAATATATTTGGTAAATGAATTTACAAGAAAGAATTAAAAAAAAAAAAATCCTAGCCTCCTCTAAGAAGATTCAGGACGTTTCAAGAACCACTATCTGATGCTTATTCATTTCTCGTCTTGTTGTCCCAAGTGTCTTGTCCAAAAATTTCTTCAATGATGTTGCATGTCGGCTGCAGATCGATACCTTTTGTTGAAGCTGTAGGATACCTGGCGTCCCAGATTTTTGCATCACAGGCATCCAATAAATACACATGGCTCACCAACTCACTAGACCCATCTACTTTACCCCGCATACACTTGCTAAGGTCAGTCTTCATTCCACTAACATGCAAAATTGGCCTTTGTGTCAATCAGACTATGAGAGTCAACCATGCTTGGGTGAAACTCAAAAGACATGCATGAGTCATCCTGTAAATTGAAATCCTTCACTATTCCCGAAACTGTCTGTTTGTTCAAAAACAGGATAAAACCAGCTCTCATCAAATGACTTTGCAACGTTTTCTTTTAGCAAAAGATTTACAGCATAATCCTCTCTTGTTGTAGAACTGCAATAATCCCCAACACCACTATCACCATCAGAGTTGCCACTATCATCATCATCATCTTCAAGACATTCCGCTTCATGGTTTGCCAGATCTTCCTGGTCAGCAAGAGACTCAATAACAGAGTCTACATCTTCCTCTGAAACTTTAACTTCATAAGCCTGTTGACTTCCATGCCACTCATCATCATCACCGTCAATGTCCAGAACAGTGGATCTGTTCTGAACAGCTCGTCTCTGACATTGAAATAATAGCTAACAAGATCCCTCATAGATCATAATGGGAAGACCACAGACAAATGCTTCCAAAACTTCTAACCCAATGATGCAGGATTAGCGTAAACAACCTCATGAAAGATCTCTTCATCTTCTTCAGTCCATTTATAAGCTACATCATCTCCCATGTCATAAAAACCCAGCTTCACAAATTTTTCATGAACAAGGGATTTTCGTAGTTTTTCTCATGCCTCGATGGCATGCTGTTGCACACGTCTCAATGAGCCCCTATCCAAGCAGCTACACTCAGTTCTGCCAGCTCCAACTTTGCCACTGTTGTTTGCGGACAAATCTGAGTCAGGCATTGGAATGACACATGCTCCCATCATAATCTCTTCATAGTCATTATCATTGGCATCTGACGCACCATTCCGAGCAAACCTATCCTTCTTCATGTGCCCACCCCATGATGGAACATTGGCTTGATGATTTGGCCCAAGCAGAACTTGTCTTCGAGGAGACTGATCCAAGAGTAAAGAATAGGCATCCTCAACAGGAGCAAACATTCTTCGTGGGAAATCTAAGTCAAAGTATTCTGGGGGAACAGGTGAAATAAATGCTGCCACAGAACCAGTATTTTCTTCATTGGAAGTGCTAGTAACCAAAGACAAAGGAGCACTAGTCTCAAAGTCCTTGTCAACCAAATGTGTAAAATCACTAAGAGCATCAGTGTCAAATGCTTCATCCCATTGGTAATTACGAAATCCACCGTCAACTTCTACTGTGTCAGACAGAGGAAGACCAAATCAATATTAAAACCATGCAGCAGAATATGAATCATTCGCATAAAAACAACCAGACCAGTCAGAGAACACATTACCTGAAATATGAGGTTTCTCTGGAGTATTACAACGGGGAATAGTATCAGCAAACTGAGTCAGCTTGTTGCTATAGCCAAAATGTCTTGGATTCTTGAAAGGTAATTCCTGCAGCTCCTCGTCCTCAAAAGGCCGTTTCAATCCTATTTACAAGCTGTGGGACAATCAATAAATTATGAAGAAAAGGTAAGTAAAATAATGATAACAACAATAAAAAAGTTAGAGATGCAAGTCAATCACAGATCGTAACAGTAAATGCACAATGACACATATTAAAAAAAAATGCAATTGCAGACAATAAAAGGAGCACTTTCAAAATTAAGCCTATGTCAAATAATACTTAACGCAAGCAATAAACATAAAAATTAGCCAGAAACTCATTTAAACTAAAATTTATGATATAAGAGGGCTTGAAGCACCATGCTACTAATATTAATAATAATGCACATTGTATAGGCATAACATAACTGTGTTATGCTAAAGAGAAGGTATTTTGCCATTTATAGTTAACCAATTTGACTTAGCATGGTGAGCTAAAAGGGTTTAGGGTGGGTAACCCAACCCAACCCACCCCCAACGGGTTCCAACCCGACTCGAGCCTATAGGATCGAGTTTTTTTTAAAATCAAATTTCGAATCGGGCCGGATAGTGCTAAGAAGATGTTGGGTTCAAATTTTAGATAAATCCGATCCGACCTGATATTATATAAAATAATTTTTTTAATTAATTTTTTATTTATATATATTTATATAATTATATATTTAAATATTTATATTTTAAAAAATAATATTTTATTAATTTCGAGTCGGGTATGATTTATACACTCAAATAAGGTCGGGTTTATGTATGAAAAAAATTTTTAAAAAAATTGGATCGAGGTCAAGGCCGGGTTTGACATATATGAAATCGAGTTAGATTTGGAACGAGCAAAAATTCGCCCTGACCTGTTGACAACCCTAAAAAGGTTTATAAGTTAAAGCAAATCGACAATTAGTCAATTATGAATGATAAAAAGCAAGAATTAACATATTAACCACTTCACAATAATAAAAACTAAATTTAATTAGGTAGTTAGGTAAAATCAATTACCTCTTACTTGTGTTCAGATGAAGCTTTAATGGAGCTGAAAAAAAAAGGGATCAATAAAAAGCTCCAGATGCCTCAATTGAGACGAGGATAGCACTTAATTGGGTACTAAAATTGATTTCACTATGGAAAGAGGCGTTTTCCCTAATTAATTTGACTACCAGGAGAAGCCCTAAAATTACAAGAAAACCCTAACCCTAATTCCCAATTCAACAAGGACACGACAAATTCGAGGCACAAAACCCCTCTAAACAATCTCGCCGCCACGTAAAACACCGAAGCCCTTCTAAGAATTCATATATAGAGAAGAACCCTAACGAACCTAAACCCTAAAAAGAAAACGAATCAAGAACAATCACACAAAATTGGACCAAAAAAAAGAGGGATATCAATATATATCGAAGATAAAATTAAAAACCATGAGAATTCAGGAACAAAAAGGGCTCGATCGAGGATATCGAAGAACCCTAACCCCAGAAAATCTTAAAATCAACGGCTCTGATAGAAAAAGAGATCAACTGAAAGGGATGAACAAGAATTGAAAAGATATCTATGTGATTTACAAATTAGATGAAGAAATTACGACAAAATCGGAGATAAATTTTCTGGTTAATTGGGGATTAATAAAAAGGGGCCAAGAGGCGATAAGGGGGCCTCGAGAGTTCGGTTCGGGGCTTTTTGCATACGAGGCGGTCCAATAGGGAAAACCGGTTGGGCTAGTTTTCGATACCGAACCTTTTTGCGGTTTCTTGTCTTACCTGGATGCTGGATCCTATTTAAAGAAAAGCGGTCCGGTTCTCATTGAAATTACCTAAAGGCCCTTAGAATATTAATTGTTTTTCAGAATAATAATATTAAAAGTATCATAAGAATACTCTTTTCTTTTCTTCCGCGTTGTTAATTAAAAATCATGGCTTGGTGTATTATTATTATTTTAAAATATATTAAAATAATCATAATATTACTCTTTTCTTCCTATTTTTAATTAAAAATTATTGTTTGGGTTTATATTACTATATTAATTTTAAAATTAATTGTGGTACAACAAAAGCGAGTTTAGGGTACAATACATTCATGGTTCAAGCAGATTTAAAATTAAAAGAAATTGCTTTTGATTTAACCTAAAACCTAAGCGAGTGGATATCTTATTAAATGATAATTTTTTTTTTTTTAATTTGAGATATGATTTGTTGCATTCGATGACCTAAAAATAATAATTAAAATCATAAATTTGAGATAATTTCAATAAAAAAAATTAATTAAATTCGAATTTAAAAATTTTATATAAAGAGTAATGATTTTTACTAATTAAATCAATTCATGTTGGTTATTAAATGATATTTGCAGCATCGAAATCAACATCCCATGACGATGAACAATCTAATATCTCCATGCAACATTATTAAAAAATTCACTTCAGTTCCAGAAGATCTATAATTCAATAAACATGGATTATTATTCATGCATCAGATGACCGGTAAAGGTTTTATTACATTAAAGCCAATAACAAATCTAAAGACAGAGATCCAGACGCTACTGTGTCAAGTAGAAATAAAATAATCTTAAAGCTAGAAGAAATAAAATGTAATTGGAAAACAATATATCTCAAGATTATCGGTTCTAGCACGACCCTGCACAAGTAGCTGCGGAATACGCTCTATGCCACAGCTGGCATAGCCTTAAACCATGAATCCAATGGCTTGCCAATGGAGTAGACAACAAACCCAATTTTCCGCAGTTTAGCTACGTCCACAATGTTCCGGCCATCGAATACGTATGCAGGCTTTTGCATGTTATCATAAATCCTTTGGTAATCAAGGGTTTTAAACTCATCCCACTCTGTCAGAATGCAGACCCCGTGAGCATCCTTTGTGGCTGCATAGGCGTCGCAAACAACACTAACTTGCTTGATAGAAATAGGGCTCATTGGCTGAAGTTCAACTGGATGGTCCCAGTCGAACTTCTTCATTGAAAGATCCCTCTGAATCTGCTCTTCATTGACTTGAGGGTCGTATATGCTCAGACTAGCCTTGTCACCCAACAGCCCTTTGCATACGTCGATCGCTGGGGTCTCCCTAGTGTCACCAGTGTCCTTCTTGAAAGCAAATCCGAGAATGGCAATCTTCTTCCCTGAAACTGTATTAAACATTGAGGAAACAATCCGGTTCACAAAACGAGTTTTCTGATAGTCATTCACCTTAACGACTTGTTTCCAGTAATTGGCTACCTCTGGGAGGCCATTGCACTCACAGATATAGACCAAGTTCAGAATATCCTTTTGGAAACATGATCCACCAAAACCGACACTAGCATTCAAGAACTTGGGTCCTATTCTTGTATCCTTCCCAATAGCATGAGACACTTGGCTCACATCAGCACCAGTCGCCTCACACAATTCTGACATAGCATTGACAGAAGAGATTCTCTGTGCCAAGAAGGCATTGGCAGCAAGCTTCGACAGCTCAGCAGACCAGAGGTTGGTGCATATGATCCGGTCCACTGGGACCCAGTGGGCATAAACATCCCTTAATACTTTAATTGCCTTTTGACCTTCCGGGGTCTCCCTGCCTCCTATAAGTACACGGTCAGGATTGAATAGGTCCTGAATTGCAGTTCCCTCAGCAAGGAATTCAGGGTTGGAGAGAATCTGAAAGTCGATGCCTTTGCTGTTGTGGGTCAAAATTTTCTCTATTGCCTCAGCTGTTTTAACAGGGACAGTTGACTTCTCAACCACAATCTTGCTAGATTTCGCTACATCAGCAATCATACGAGCAGCACTCTCCCAGTAGGTCAAATCAGCCGCTTTCCCAGCTCCAAGACCTTGAGTTTTGGTTGGGGTGTTAACCGAAACAAACACTATGTCAGCCTCGGCAACATGCTTCTCCACATCAGTGCTAAAGAAAAGGTTCTTTCCTCTGCACTGCTTCACCACCTCGTCAAGACCCGGTTCGTAGATGGGGAGTGCATCACTATTCCAGGCATTAATTCTTGCCACAGAAATGTCTACAACAGCCACTTCAATCTCTGGGCATTTCAGTGCAATGACAGCCATGGTAGGCCCACCAACATATCCAGCTCCAAGGCAACAGATCTTCACCATTTTCGATATCCTACAACATAAAAACATTCCAGTTTAAGGGAAACAAAAAAACAACCAAATTACATTCTATTCAGGTTTGAAGCACATTGAAACCAAACACATTTAACCATGAAATCTAACCAAAAAAACTAAGAAAACAACAACAGATTCACCAATTAACAAAACCCAAATTCCATAAAACCAAAAAGAAATGAACTAAGCTAAAACATAGACAAAAGAAAAAAGGGTTGACAGGGAAAACAAAAAAAAATGGAAAAAGTACCTTTGGGAGTCTCGAGCTATTAGATCAAAGAAAGAAGAAAATGAAGAACAGAGAGAAAAAATGGGTGCAGAAGAAGAAGAAGAAGAAAGGGGGAGGGACTGAAATGGAGCAGTTCTTCTGGCGAAGAATGAGGAGATCCAAGACCTTTCCAATGATTACTATATACTCACCTAAAATTCCTTCAAGATCCAATTATTCAGGTGCTTCCACGGCCCATACTTCATATGTTTATCAACAATATTCTTACATGTTTTCTTTTCCAAAATCGTACAGTTCAATTCCAGCAAACTATTCAAGAATTTTATTAATTAATTATTCAAAAAGCCATGTTAAAGCTTTCTTTTTTGTTGATGGATAAGGCAAAATAATGCACACAAGGACAAAACCAAGATCCGGTAGTAATTATTATTGCATTAAAATTTCAAAGTTCAGTTTTTTTAGTATAAAAATAGTAATTTTAATTAAAATATAAGGATAAAAATAATTTTAAATTAAACTAATAAATAATATATATTAAAATATAAAAATTAGATTAAACATTTTGATTCGTGAATTATTTGAATATTACATTAAGATATTTGAATTTAATTTATTTGATAAATTAATTTATTTGAGTAAAACTTAACAATGATTGAAATGAATTTAAATTCTATTCAAGTTGATTTGGAATAATTTGGGAAAATGAATTTATTATTTACACCCTTAAAACAATAGTTCCACTACTCTTTACAAAAATGAGGTGGGCGACTTCCATTCCTCTTGCTCCTACCATATATTCTTTGAAAAACACCAACACCAGACCATGCTTCAGATGCATCTTCCATGCCATAGGTGCTGGTGTGACCACATTAAAGAGAGAAAACAAAAGACAATGTGAAGCTGATTTTGATACACAAAGGGGGATGAGACACAAACCAGCTCTGACGCAGTGCCAATCAGGGCTCCATGAATCTAGCAGTCTTGACAATAATCAAACAGCAATGCAACAAAACCATCATGCGCATAAAGCACAGTCATTAATTTTTAGGTATGTTCCCAAAAGAAATAAAAACATGGGAGGCAACGTGAGTGTAAGATGCCCTTTAATTTGTACATAAATTTCCAAAAGACAAGTGAAGCAACAACAAGACGGCAAGTCCTAAAAGGACCACAAAATTTAGCCAATATGTCAATGGAAAAATAGAAAGAGAGAGGGAGAAAAAGACTTGCCAATTAATTTAAGTCTTGAATTCTATTCTATTTATTTTTCAGTTTCAGAATATGATTATTTTGGCATGAGCTACATGACTCGTAGTAATTTATCGGATAAATTGATAAGTTTGGCATTTCTGACCCATCAAGCCTAAAAACATTTTTCCCTAGATTAATTATTCAACTACTATTATACTTTATATTTGATTTTTTAAGTAATTTTTTCCTCCATTTATAATTTGTTTTTGTTGATAATACCTTTTATAGCAATCCCTACATGGGTGAAAAGGCAACGAAGAAAAAGTAAGAAAATAGTTTTTAATTTGCATGTAAAAAAAAAAAAAAAGATTTTCAAATATGTAAAAAATTAGGTGTGGCATCATGTCCTAATATATAAATATAAATAGTATTAGAATATTTATATTTTCCATGTTATTGAATAGAATAATTAATGAGTTTGTTTAGATTCCTTTGCATGCAACAATTATAAAAACAAGAACCTTAAACCTTAATAATTAACTCAAACTACTTACTTAAATACATTGCATGGCTTACACTTTGTCAACTTTCATTAATTTTATTTGCCAAAAAACTAAGATTCCTCTTATTTTTAATTTACTCACATATTTGCCTATTTATATTAGCACTTAATTTCAACTTTTACAAAGCAATTCAAGCAATAAAATTACTAATACAAGCTTGAGTGGTAACATGGCTGGTGGGAGGTTTGTTTTTGTGGTTATGCTCTTGGTTTTTTGGTTGGTCAGGATTGCTGGGTCACAACCATATCAGGATTGGAATGTAGCACATGCAACTTTTTATGGAGACATTCGAGGGACTGAAACCATGCGTAAGTTTTGATCCATTCTTATTTATGTTGGAATCCTGTTTACGTGGATAAATTCTAAATACTCGAATTATTTTTAATCTAAAAGATTGTTCAATAAACTAAAATTTTTCTTCAGATTCTATTGCTTCGTATCTACGAATTTTAAGTTTCCAAATTGATATTCTCATGTTCTTAGTCTAGTACTAACTTCGTTTCTTCTATTTTTGGTATGCTTGAGGATAGAAGGTGCTTGTGGCTATGGTGATCTAGTAAAACAAGGTTATGGCCTTGAAACAACAGCCTTGAGCTCGGCTCTCTTCGACAATGGTCTGACCTGCGGAGCCTGCTATGAAATCCGGTGCCATGACTCCGAACAATGGTGCCTAAACGATACTATCATTGTAACTGCCACAAACTTTTGCCCTCCCAACTACAGCAAACCTGAAGGAAATTGGTGCAATCCACCAAGGCAACACTTTGATCTATCCCAACCAATGTTCCGAAGAATTGCTCTTTACAGGGCCGGCATTATTCCCGTCATTTATAAGCGAGTTCCTTGCATAAATCTGGTGGTGTCAAGTTCTAAATTAAGGGAAACCGATACTGGATACTGGTATTGGTGTACAATGTGGGGGGAGATGGTGATGTTACAGACGTTAAGATCAAGGGTTCAGGCACAACATTGATTCAAATGTCAAGAAATTGGGGCCAGAATTGGCAAACTACAGGTGAGCTTATCGGACAAAGCTTGTCTTTTCAAGTGACTAATAGTGATGGTATAATGGTGCAGTCTGATGACGTTGCACCAGCTGATTGGAAATTTGGTGGCGTTTATGAGGGCAAGCAATTTCCAGGTTAAAGCAATGATAATTGCTTTTGATAACCGCATGCAGATAAACTTGTTAACATCAGTGTAATAGAATGAATAACTGTTGTATTCGTCTTGGGCCTTTTGAGCTGCTGCAAATGCTTTCTGTTGCATTCGTCTCTGGTTCATACCAGTTAACATCCAATGATATCCCAACTGATCCATTTTGTTTACGCTGCATAAGACCAAAAGACCGTTGATCTTAGATGGTAGCTTATTTTAAATATAACGTGAAATATTTGTGCTCATAAACTTTTCGAACTTAATTCTTTTAAGAGATTTATTTAAAAGATTGACAATATAATTAAAAAGATGTTTTAAATACTATACATATCAATTTTATATATCTCATATGATATTTTCATATTTGAGAATTAACAAATTCAACTCGGTAATGTTCACAAAATTTAGAGCTTGTTTTTTATTTTTAATTACTCGATAAACAAACGTAAATTTCACTTTTTATAAGTTTAAAATTTTTTTCACAAAATAATCAATCCTTTTCCGTTTGTTAGTTTTATAATGAAAATATTTTGTCGACTCTCCCAAGGTTTAAAAAAATCGAACTATAATCTATGAATTGAGTTTAAGTTCGAGTTTTTTAACCTAAACAATTTAGAACTATCATCTTGGTCCTTGGATTGCCTTACCTAAGCCCAGTACATTGATATAGATTCCACATTTGAGGGCCCATTTATCTCTGTGAGATTATGAGAAGGACTGAAGGCTAAATTTTACCAAAATCAAAGGGCCCAATAATAAAAACAGAAATCCTTAAACCCCAAAATGTATAGTAGCCCCTTCTCTGAAAAAGAAAAGGAAAGACAAAACTGGATCGCGGAAATGTCCGACAACGAAGAAGAGCCACCTCTTGCTATTCGAATCGACCAAATTGTCGCAGAACCTTCCCAATCCAATCCCGAGCAACGTCCAGACGACAACGTTTCAGTTGGGGTAACCGTCATCACAGGCTACCTGGGTGCCGGCAAATCCACTGTAATCATATCAAACCCCTCAAAATTTCGCTTTGTTTTCCTAGCTGATCATAGCTTATTTTTAACTTAAAGATTTTGCCTTTGGGGTGTGGTTTTCAGCTTGTTAATTATATATTGAATGCCCAACATGGGAAACGGATTGCTGTGATTTTGAATGAGTTTGGTGAAGAGATTGGAGTTGAAAGGGCTATGATAAATGAGGGAGAAAGTGGTGCACTTGTTGAAGAATGGGTTGAACTAGCAAATGGGTGCGTTTGTTGCACTGTTAAACATAGTTTGGTTCAGGCCCTGGAACAACTTGTTCAAATGAAGAAAAGGTGAGACTACCCATTTCATTTTTTTTTCTTTTTATTTCTACTAAATTTGATTAGTAACAATGGGGGGGGGGGGGGGGGCAATTTCCTGATTTGATGATCTGTGAATTTTTTGTTTTTGTTAATAGACTTGATCACATATTATTGGAGACCACAGGGTTAGCGAATCCTGCTCCTTTGGCTTCTGTTCTTTGGTTGGATGATCAACTGGAATCTTCAGTCAAGCTTGATTCTATAGTTACTGTAAGTATATTTATGGTTCTCGAATAAATTTTATGGATTGGATTGGATTATCTGTGTGGCATTTAGACTCCGTGTTGTCTTTTTCTTTGTGGGGTTTTAGTGTTCAAACGTTATTCTCATTAATCATTTACTTATATGAATTGTGGTAAATATTTATGTAATGTGTTGAACATAGATTTCTTTTCTGTCATTTATAGTCTATTGAACTGACTAATTAATGGGGGTGTATTTCAGTACATTATCTAATTTACTTAAAAGAAACTGAGCAGTGTCTGCTGCATTTGAGCATTTGTCCTTATGTACGTTTCATTTCATGTTCACCTATATATATGGCAGTCTTTTGCTCATGTATAGTTTAGGTGTTGTAAAGCTTGAGTTATTGATACATTATTCTGTCCTGGAGTAACATGTGTTATGACTTGAAACAACCAACACTATTTCTTTATTGCCTTTCTTTTTGCTGCTTGAGTAGGTTGTAGATGCCAAAAACCTGCATTTTCAGCTAAACAGGCATCGTGACTCTTCCTCATTTCCTGAAGCATTTCTTCAAATAGCATTTGCGGTACTTCTGATCTCAACTTATTATTACATCCAATAGAAACAACCTTTGCAACCTTTTACAAATGGCGAGATCATTGTTTCATTTATTATTTGATATTTGCTTGTCACGTACCTAGAAAAGGGATATTTTATGGGTTCAGCAATTATATCCGCTAAAATTTTTGTTGTCTCTTGTAGGATGTTGTAATTCTTAACAAGGTTGATTTGGTTTCTCTAGAGGGCTCTGAAGGTGCACTAGAGGACCTGGAGAATGAGATACGTAGCATAAACTCCCTTGCCAACATCATTCACTCTGTTCGGTGTGAAGTAGACTTGTCTCAGATACTGAACCGGCAGGCATATGATGCTATGGTTAATCCTAAAAAACTTAGTCATCATATTATACACTTCTTAGTGCATGCTCTACTCTATTTTAACCGATATTACTCTTTTCATTCCCCTGTGGGTTTAGCATGCCACTCATTTAGGAGCACTCTTAGAAGAAAGCAAATCTATATCTTCCAGAGATCTTCATGATAGTGGTGTTCGCACATTATGCATTAATCAGAGAGAAGCTGTTGATCTTCATAAGGTAGTTCCTTCACACAGTTTACTAGATTCATTCTCTTCCAAGCCGATGTAATCTACTCCTAATTAGTCTATGTTCACAGTTCCTTAGTCTGGTATATTGTCACAATGATATTGTATTAGACAGATGGCTTGCATAAGCCATGTTTCATGCTTGCGCACATGATGCTTCATTTGTTAGATAGAACTGAGACAAGCCTGTAGCTGCATTCATTTATAATTTCCTTTCAATAATTTTGCTGCTTTTAGTTGAGGTCGCGTTCTTGATTTAAGCCTCACCATGCTTATTTGCTCAAATTCCCAAATGACATAATCATTTGAAGTAACATGTTTCACATTGTATGCTTTTGCTTAAATATATCAATCTAAGGTTACTCAACAATAATGTTAATTCTTTTTTTTTTTTTTTTCGACATGAATATATTTTCATGTATTTTGTTTATTTACTGAATCATTCTCTTTCTTCTATGTAAGGTACACTTATATTATTCCTTGATTCCTGATATTATATTTTAGGTCCGTTTATGGATCGAGGAGATTCTTTGGGATAAGAAGTATGACATGGATGTCTATCGCTGCAAAGGGGTTTTAAGTGTTCAAAATTCTGATAATCTGCATACGTTGCAGGTGATGTTACATGCCATCGATTGCTTCATCATGAGTAGTTTGCTTTTGATTTCTTTTGCAAACCATTAGTTGTTGATCATTTGACAGGCTGTAAGAGAGATATATGAGATTGTTCCGACTCGCCAATGGAGAAACGATGAAAAACAGATGAACAGGATAGTGTTTATAGGTAAAATACTCTACCAATGCTGATTTCCTCTAGATGAAACTTTTCCCAGAAACTATTTATTTTACCAACTTCTTAATTGGTTTTGCAGGTCATAATCTGGATGAAAATATTCTCGCCGATTCCTTTCGAGGTTGTATATGAGAACTTAATCCGAGTGACACTCCATTGAATTCTTTTAAATAGAATCTGAATACCCAAAGCTACTGTTTAAACTCCCATTACTCATGTGATGTAACAATGACTTTTTAGCTAGAAATATATGAAAGCTAAAGTATATTTGAAACTATTATTGCTTCACACTTTAATCTCTGCATTTATGTGTACGGATTTGCATACATATTTTAGAAGCCAGTACAATTTAACAGGTATATGGAAACATTTTTGTTTTTTTCTCTCTTTAATATCTTAATTTCGCATTAACTTAATTATTGTAAAAATGAATTTGAATAGAAATCAGTTAGAAATTGATATAATTAGATGTGAGAAAAGTCAGTCATATTGTTATATATCTATAATTATGAAATCAATTTTCATGATCTTACAAAATAATCGAATTTTGCAAAGATGTATGCATGTTCGATCAGATTTTTGGACGTTACCATGGGAAAATAGTTATTTTTTGAAAGAATTTATGCATATAATTGTTTCTTTAGTTAAATAAATAAGGGTTGGGTAAGGTTGATGATGGATTAGATTGAATTGGATTTGATTTGATTTTTTTGAATAATATATAAAAATAAAAATTTTTAAAATTCAATTTGAATCCGTAATTAAATTTTCATACTATTCGAATCAAATTTTATTATATCGGTTTAGTTTGATTTGTTAGTTTTTAAATCTTTTTATTTTTATATATTATTGTAATATAATTTTTAATATACTTAAATTAATTTTGGTATAAAATAATTAATTTTATTTTATATAAAAATTAATAAAAATATTTAATTTGGTTTGATTATTTTTTTTATTGTTGACTTTTTAATTCGACATCCGATTTAAATTTAATTTATATATATTTAATATTCAAATCGAATTAAAAAAAATTTGATTATAACTAAACTGAATATTATGGTTTTAAATTAATTTTTAATTTTTTAAATTTTTTTTCACTCTTAATTGAGGGTAGATTAAAAATTTTTTTAAAAATGAATTTTTTTTAAAAAAATTATAGGGTAGTTAATAATAGTAATATACATGTTTTAAATTTTGCTTTTCTATAGGAATCCTAAAATTATAAAAACTGAAAAAATATATATATAAAAAAAAAAAAAAAAAGCCCAGTAAGCCACAAGCGCCGCCACCGACGTCGTTTTAGAAGACTTCCTTTCCAATTCGTAGCTCATACTTCCTCCCAGGCTGCTGCATTTTCCTCTAGGTTGGCAAATTTCTCTCAAGCCGCCCCCTGTCTCTGGGTGCTATTAAATCTCCCCTAAGGTAATTTCTCCACCTCTTAATTAGGGTTTTTGTTCATAATCACTTTCACACTTTTTTCTTTTTCTTTAATCTTTCACTCTTTTCTTACCCTTGGGCTGTTATAAAAAACAATACTTTTCTGGGTTTCTTTTAATCTTCAAATTACTACCTTTGCAAGTTATTTCTGGGCTACTATCTATTTTATAGGCTTTCTTTTAGGTTAATTTAGGGTTTAGATTATGGACCCATTAGTAATTAGAAAGAAATTTCCTTATTCTTTTTTCATCATCATTCTATGACGGGCAAGCTGATTCTTGAATGTAAAAAGTATGTATCTTTTGATCTGAAAGCTTTGATATGAAGCAAAGGATCTTGATTTGAATCGTTTACTTAATTTCTGAACAGTGAATTTTCAAGGTGCAGCAGTTAAAACGATTTGTGGTGAAATGGCATTGGTGGTAATTTGTGGACAACCTTGCAGTGGGAAGTCTATGGCTGCTAAATGTCTGGCTGAAGCTCTGAATGAATCAGAATGCAAACAGACAGTAAGGGTCATTGATGAAACTTCATTCCATCTTGATCGTAATCAGAGTTATGCTAATATGCCTGCTGAGAAGAATTTACGGGGAGTACTGAGGTCTGAAGTTGATAGATCTGTGTCCAAAGATAATATCATTATTGTTGATTCTTTGAACAGTATCAAGGGTTATAGATACGAGTTATGGTGTTTGGCTCGTGCTGCGGGGATAAAGTACTGTGTGTTATATTGTGATGTTGGAGAAGAGCAGTGTAGGAAATGGAACAAAGAACGAAGGGAGAAGGGGGAGACTGCGTATGATGATGTTATATTTGAAGATTTAGTTAGAAGGTTTGAGAAACCAGATCGAAGAAATCGTTGGGATTCGCCTTTGTTTGAGTTGTGGCCTCATAATGATGGAGTAGAGAAATCTTCTGTTGCCATTGCAGATGCAGTTTCTTATTTGACAAAAAAAGTGGACTCAAAATCACGTGATGTTAAGATTTTACAGCCAACCATTGCTACACAAAATACACGGTTTTCGGAGGTGAATTCTTTGTATGAGTTGGATAGAGCAACACAGGAGGTGATTAATGCTATTGTGGAGGCACAATCCCAGGCAATTGGAGGACCTCTTGCTGGTATTTCTATTGGCCAAGGTTTACCAAGTATCAATATTTCCAGATCAGTTGGGTTGCCAGAGCTACGTAGTCTACGACGTACATTCATCAAGTTAACGGGGCAAACAAGTTTGAGTGGGCGACCTCCACCATCTGATGCAGACAGTGCAAAAAGGATGTTTGTAGACTATCTGAATAGAGAACTGGGAACTATTGCTTGAAAGAGGGCTAATACCCTAGTTTTATACCTTGATCAGTGTTGTCAAAGGTTACTAATGTATTTTCTACTGTTATTTTCTCACAAGAACAGTTTAGATTGTCTCAGAATTATCTTAGACTTGGCAATAATGTACTCTGAAAATCTATGTCTTCTGCATCTCTTTTTACATGTTGGAAATTTCTGATGAGTTGCAGAGTTTGCCGGTGTGATGGATCAAGTTCTATGCCAATGCCAATTATTGCAGTAATGAACAGATGGTTCTCTCTTGCCATGGTACGGTGGAGGAATAGCAACACCTGATGCCAATGGAACCGGACATGGAATTTTGTTGGAATTGTGGGCTCCACCATAGTCCTTTGAAATGATCAAAGTGTCCCAAAACTCATTCCTCATCACCTCGGGTCCTTTTATATGCTTTGTACTGACATTTTGGGCATAAATGTGTGAATTTAGTTGTTTCAGCCCCAGGATAATAGAATGCATCACCGGTTTTTGAAACAGTAAACTTTTTACCAGGGATCATTGAAACCCAGCTCCTGAAATTTGAGATATCCCTGATTTCCACACGCTAATTTGCTGGCAGAAAAGGACATCTTGATTGAGATCCTATCTGAAATTTCCACTTGAGGTCGACCTGTGGGCTAAACCTTGGGCCTAGATGAAGGGAATTCATCTTGTTCATGAGGCATGACAGTGGGCACCGCACAGCTCATTTTATGCTACTCCCGCTCTGGAATCTAACAGACCTCAACCATTGTGCCCTTTTCAGTTCTCCAAATTAGACTCTGAAATTTAAAACTCGACATTAAAATTATACGAAAAAATGAATTTAATAAAAATAGAAATATATATTTTATATATTTATGATGATATAAATTATAATATATAATTTTAATAAATTATAATACGTAATTTTATTTGAATTTTTAATATTATACAAAACATATAATTTATCAAATATTGCATCATCAGTTAATACTAACTTTGAGCGGCTAAAATCTAACATAAATATTAATCAAATGTACAGTTTATTAATGAGAGGAAAGCTGATAAAAGCTGAGAAAGCGGCAGCATAATTTGGCACCATTTTAAAGAACTAAAAATATTTTTTTTTTTTTTTTTTTTTACTTTTTCTTTGCGGCTATATCAAGATCGTTAAATCCACCTGGCCCGGCAGAACAAAAGATCACGAACCACGTGTCCATCAGGACCTGCATCATCATTACCAATCACCACCTGTCATTGTACCTGTTTCAACAGTTTAGTATGTGTGCCCGAAAAACATAAATCTCAATTATTACTTAATTAATTAAAATTAAAATATTTTCATATATTAAATGATTTGTGCCCCCTATTTGGCATTTCCTTTCTTAGGAAAGTGAGAGCCTTTAGATCTGATCATTAATATTAACCATAACAAATAAAACTTTACTTTTCTCTCTCAAGATCGCCTCTGTTTTTCGCTCTGTCGCTCTCTCCATTTGTCAATTTCGGATTTTGAATCTCCATCGGTACGCTCCCACGTAAACCCTATTTTTTTCTTTTTTCTTTTGTTTTTTTCCCATGTGTTCTTCAGTGATCTTGATCTGTTATTGTTTCCTTTTTGAGATCTGACTTTCGTTTCCCGGATTCTAAAAACGGAAAGTTTTGCATTTTTTTAAAAGAATAGGAATTAGTGTAATGAATTTTCTGTTTTAAGCTTTAGAAATCTGTTGTTAGATTCGATATCATTTCATCTACCGAACAGACCGTTAAAGAATCGTAATTTCCTTGTTTTGAATATTGATTCTGGTGGATCATTTGCAGCTTGATGCAATTGGTCATTTGCTGGAGACTGAGGAATTGGCATTACTCAAAATTGTGTTTCGATCGGCTCTTTTTGGATTCGGGTAAAAAGATACCGCGGTATATTTCGGATTGGTTTGGATTAGGAGTTGTGTATAATTCACTTATAGGCCAGTTCGATTTTGGGTGGAATTATTGATCCATATTAAGGAAATTCAGCTTAATTTTCTTTGGATTTTCTTGATACTGATTCTGGTGGATTTATAGTGAACTTGGGTATTGTACTATTTTGTTATCTGTTGCTTGTGATGGTTGGTGAAAGATCGATGCGGGTAGGAGTGTAGAGGAGGTGGTTTCGATGCTTGTTGGACTTATCTAGATTCATGGTAACATATATAGAAGCTTACATGTAATGATAGGTTATGGTTTTCACAGTTCTTGGAGATTTAAGCTAAAGGGATTGGTTATCTAGTGGTTTCCCAAGCTTCAATTGTTTAAAGCTTAGGACATGAGAAGCCCCTGGCTGAATAAACTATCTATCATTTTCGGCCCTAGACCACGGGTCAGTTGGTCACGGGTCAGTTGGTTGTTATTGTGCTTTGTTAGTGTGCTTGCTCTGATTGCAGTCTTTGGATCGTCATCTTCTAATTCCTTTGACTCTGTAACTTCCACTCCTGGACCTGAGATTTATAGTAACTATAGAAGGCTAAAGGAGCAAGCAGCAGTTGATTATTTTGATCTGAAAACTCTCTCATTGGGTGCTAGTCGCCAAAGGGAGCTTGGCCTTTGTGGCAAAGAAAGAGAAAATTATGTTCCTTGTTACAATGTGACAGCGAATTTGTTATCAGGGTTTAAAGATGGAGAGGAGTTTGATCGACATTGTGAAGTGTCAAGTCAAGGAAAGTGGTGTTTGGTTCGCCCTCCGAAGGATTATAAGATTCCACTCCATTGGCCTGCTGGTAGGGATGTGATATGGAGTGGAAATGTCAAGATAACCAAAGACCAATTCCTTGCTTCTGGAAGCATGACAAAGAGGTATTTATTAAATTTATTCAGATGCTTTGTAAAAGTAAGGGAAATATAATTCTTCTCCTTTGATTATGAACTTTTGCTTTTAGAATTTGCTAGTATCTGTTCTTGATCGCAGTTTATATATTCTTCTTTCTTTGTTCTTTATGCGATCAATGACAGTTTTCTAATTTACCTTCATAATCTTTTAACAAACTGTCTAGAATGATGTTGCTAGAAGAGAATCAAATTGCTTTTCACTCTGAGGATGGCTTAATCTTCAATGGTGTCAAAGATTATTCTCGCCAGATTGCAGAGATGATGGGACTTGGAAGTGACTCTGAATTTTTTCAAGCCGGTGTAAGTATTTATTTCATTTTATGATATTGTTCTTACTATTTTTAACCTTTTGGAGAACCATGAGCTTTGAGGGTTTGGTATTTTTGGAATCAAATATTTTTCTAATATATTAGCTTGTAAACTTTACAAATATGAGAAAGATACTCCATTGTCTTCAAGGGCAAGTAAAAGTATCAGCACCTAGTGTTATTTAATATTCCTTCTTTGATTACAGGTGCACACTGTACTTGATATTGGTTGTGGATTTGGAAGTTTTGGGGCTCATTTAGTTTCACTAAAGTTGATGGCTCTTTGTATAGCTGCATATGAGGCAACTGGAAGCCAAGTTCAATTAGCTCTTGAGAGAGGTCTTCCAGCAATGATTGGCCATTTCATATCAAAACAACTGCCATATCCATCATTGTCATTTGACATGGTTCATTGCGCTCAGTGCGGTATTGTTTGGGACAAAAAAGGTACTTGTAGAGTTTAATAGTAGGCTTGCTTTCTGTTATTTATAGATACTCTTTTTTTTTTTTTACTGTTACTAAATTACTCAGGAAGATTTAGCTATACCACTATTCTGTTACTTCTTTTTTTTATTGATAATCTCCATGTCATGCAGTGCTTTGTACAGGTGCACTGAGTTACAGCATAGTGCGCTGTTAACAGTGCTTTCTGTTAAGGTTAATAACACTGCTAGCCATGAAATGTATTTGAGTGCTGAAACTTTCTCCTCCAAAACCTTGATGAAAAAGACAATACCCAAAAAGAAAAAGTATAATGCATGTAGCTTGAATCATCTAAAGAGTTACTGTTAGATGCATGTGTGATCTTAATGCATTGTGCATGTACCGATTATATTCAATAAATAAGCAAGTCTAGCTGCCTATTGCAAAATTAAATATGCTTTGCTTTCTAACTATGACTTTATAAAACAGAGGGGATGTTTCTTATAGAAGTAGATCGGTTGCTTAAGCCTGGAGGTTATTTTGTTTTAACCTCACCCACAAGTAAGCCACATGGAAGTGCAACAAATATGAAGAAAAGAAACATGTTAACACCACTGGAACAATTCACTGAAAAAATTTGTTGGAGTCTTATTGCTCAGCAGGATGAGACTTTCATCTGGCAGAAAACAGCTGATGCTCATTGCTATTCATCTCGGTGAGTGTACACTGATAATTTTCACTCTTCTCTGAGTAACTCTTAATTTAACTGCATTAAGGAATTGGCTTTCAATTCAGCAAAAGGGTTTTTAGGTTGTCTTACCCTTTTACTTTGAATTAGTTGTATTTGTTCCTCTTAACTATAACTGTCAGATCTGTGCTGATGTTTTTCCAACTTTCATTTTCTTGAATATAGCAAGCAGAAGGATGTGCCCCTTTGCAAAGAAGGACATGATGCTCCCTATTATCAGGCCTTGATGCCATGTATTTCCGGAACTTCCATCAAACGCTGGATTCCTATTCAGAACAGGTCCTCTAGCTCACATTTGAGCTCTGCAGAGCTTGAAGTTCATGGAAAGTATTGTTCCAGCCCATTTTTTCTCCCTGCACCCCTGCACCTGCACCTGCATTTTCATTTTTCTTTTGCGTTGCAACCTGGAATGCACAGTTTATGCAGTAGATGGCTTTACTTGCCTAATATATTGATGTAAATTAATCCTTGCAGGAGTCAGTCCAGAAGATTTCTTTGAAGACTTGCAAGTTTGGAAATTAGCTTTAAAAAACTATTGGTCTTTGCTTACACCCTTAATTTTCTCTGACCATCCCAAGAGGCCAGGCGATGAAGATCCATTGCCTCCTTTTAATATGGTACGCAATGTGATGGACATGAATGCTCATTATGGGGGTTTAAATGCTGCATTCCTGGAGGAAAAGAAATCAGCGTGGGTGATGAATGTTGTGCCTATTCGGGCACGCAATACTCTTCCTCTCATTCTTGAACGAGGATTTCCTGGTGTTTTGCATGACTGGTTAGATTTTTACAACTTCATCAAAGTAATTTGTTTTAGTTGATAGTTATGAGTTGGTTTTGGAGTTTAAATTTTAACATCTTTGTTTTAGTTATAGATTATCTTCACAAGATTTTAGGAGTGAACTTGCTCATTTCGTTCGCAGATTAAGATAATATTAAAGTTTGTGGATTATAAAGATTCTGTTAAAATAGTTTGCTTTAGTTTAGATTCATTCTTAAAATTGAATCATACTGTTGCCTATAGTTTTTCTGAATATACCGAATCTTCAGTTGTTGAACTATATTTGACTTATTTGCTCAAATCATGGGGTGGCAAGTAAAGACATGGTTGACTGTAGTAGACTGCTAATATTGGAGTCTGTATGACAGTTTTCTCTCTTTGAGCTCCAGTTTAATATTCAAAAGTTTTTTTTTTTTTTCATGATTAGTGATTTCCGATATAGCAGCTCTGTATCATTCTATTGAAAGAAAATTTTTATCTGATATATCTGGTGGCGTTCAGGTGTGAACCCTTCCCAACATATCCTCGAACATATGACATGCTTCATGCAAATGGGCTCCTCTCACATCTGACTTCAGAGAAGTGTGGTTTGATGGACTTATTTGTAGAGATGGATCGAATTCTGCGTCCTGAGGTATTTTCACTTTTTCGGTGTTTGTGTTTGAAATTCAATGTGGTGTCCCTTTTTTTTCCAATTCCATTTTTATGCAGGAATTGCCTCTTATGCCTCTCAACAGTTTGTAAGATTGTTTTAAGAAAACCCATTTTTTTTAATGTTTTTATTTTATGCTCAACATCCTAATCCTCTTCAACAAGTCCCCCTCCAAATAAAAATTGATATTTTTAATCAATTCCCTGTAATGCCATTTCATTTGATGTGCCCTAGAATATGTTGTATTAGTGAATACTTTCTGAAATAGTTATTACTTGAACAACTGTACATTGGAAGTTCTTGAACTTCATAATATGAGCTGGTGTTTGTTTGCAGGGTTGGGTTGTGCTCTCTGATAAATTAGGAGCTATAGAGTTGGCACGTGCACATGCTACACAAGTACGATGGGATGCAAGGGTGATCGACCTTCAGAATGGTGGTGATCAGCGACTACTTGTTTGTCAGAAACCATTTGTGAAGAAATGATTGATCTAGTGCCAGAAGGTCTCAAGACTGTGGATGTGTAAAAATTTTTTTGATCTGGTAATCCTCTAATTAATCCACCAAAACACCTTTTGTGACTTCCGCAAGCATGCATGCACAATCAATATAAAATATTACACATGGGAACTGGGTTGGCTTTGGTGTTTAGATCCACATAATAAGTGGCCTTTTTTACCAATGTTATGCTTGGAGTTGTTTGTTTGCTTCCTAGTCAAATATAAAGCTAAACGGGTTTTTATGCCATGAACACCAGAGGGGAAGGGAATCCATTCTATTATTTATTTTAACGGAGCCAGCTAAATCTTCTGAATTTTTTGATGGTCTTATCCGACCAAGCTGAATGGCTAGTCCAATGGTTGTACGAACTACATAAAAAGGATAATGGGGACCTCCTATAAAACCTAGTTATCGGCATTTACAGAAGTGTTATCTCACATGTAGTTAGCTAGCATTTGTCAAAAGATAATAAATAGGTATTATGTCTTAGAATTGATGATGTAGTTTTCTTGGCAGAGAATGAACTATGGCAGCATCACAATGTGAGATATGCTCTGGAGTCTCAACAGGTCTGATATTAATGACTGAACGAGGAGCATGGTGAAGGGCCGTAGATTAGAAAAGAGGTTTGCTGCAAAAAGTAGCTGCAATTCTTTTTCTTTTTCCTTTTCCTCTCTTTCTTTTTTTTTTTTTTTTTGTCAAGGCATTTGTAGCAATTCATTCATCCATTTTTTTCCTTGTCTAAATTTTGAGTTTGTCTATTTCTTTATTATTTGATATTGAACACCACCTTGTATTGAACCATCATTGCAGTGCAATGGCCATGAAATGTGATAATTACAAATATATCAAACAAGCTCTCTCTACCTCTCATGGATTTTTGAGGTTTGTGTTCTTAACATTTTTTTGGCGAAATGTATTTACACCACAAATTTTTCTTTTTGAAGGTTCTTGTCATGGCTCCACCGCCTCACTGCCCTCTCTTGCTGGTGGCCATTTTTTTGCCTATATCTCTCCAATATATCAGCCAAATCAAACAGCCCCACTTCCCTTAATATCTTGCCCTACTTCTCAAACATAACTACAACTTCCTCATTTGAGTAACAGTGCAAAAATTTATTGTAATCAAATCTAAGCACCTCCATTCCTCCATTTTATTGTGGCAGCCTCTAGTGTCTTCCCAGCCTTAATCAAACCTCCAACAAAATTATATTGAAATTCACCAATGGATCATGCCCCCAAATGAGTCCTTGCAACAACATATGCTTGCATTATAGGCTCACACCCTCTCTTTATCATTTACCTAAACACTTGTTGCTTAACTTGCCTTCCTCAACCTCAAAAGCCCCTTTTTTCTGGTGCATGATAAACACTGATATCAGGCTTCTCAATCCCTTTCACAAAACACTAATATCAGGCTTCTCAATCCCTTTCACAATCATATAAGCCTTTATAATATCAAATCTACCGGATGTCACTTTTTAATAGTGACTGCATCAATCAATTAATTTGAACTTTAAACCTATTAAATATCATCTCATAATAATAACTACTTGAATCAATAAAGTTAAACTTTGAGTTATATTAATCTTACCTCTATTACATATCTAATTGATCACAAGCTATGATATGCCAGCCCAAATAATAATTGGCTAGATTAATATCAAAGCTAATTAGTTTATTAATAAACTAATTAGTAAAAGAAAAAGGACTAAGATAATAAATGAAAAAAAAAATCTAGCTATAAAAAAAAAAAAAAATAGAGTTTTATTTCTCATCTTCCTTAGAGTTAGAAAGTATGAAAAGGCAAGTTGACGATTCAAAATCTGAGGCTACAATCAAGTTAATCCCTTAAAAGTGAGTATATGTCATCTTTTTATTTAAGAAGAAATATCATGTTGATTGTTATTATTTGGAGTTGAACTTTTGAGAGAAAAATCAAGAAAAATTATGAAATTTTTCATTAATCTTCATGATTTATTTGGGTAAATTATTGAGACTTGTTTATTTCGTGTCCTTAAGATTTATTGATGATCATTGAATGGAGTTTAAAGGTTGAAAGTGGGGATTTGAATTTTTAAAGATTAAAGAAAAAATTTTGTTTTTAAATGATATGCTATGATTTATAATAGTGAATCAAAATAGGATTCTGTATTAATGGATAGATTGTTGCTATGATTATTATATATCATTGAAAAGCATGTTGAATCAACTTTCTAATGAAATAAATGGAAGTCGAATCCGAGTTTTCTATGAAGAGTTGCCTAATTTTTACTTAAAGATATATAGGCTATAAAGCAACAACATTAAGGTTGAATTTCGAAAATTGTCTTAATTTTTATACAAGGATTTACAGATTAAACTATATATGTTTGAAAATCATATTAAGTCTACTTTCCAACAGAACAAGCGGAATTGAATTTTGAGTTTCCTATGAATAAATACGTAGTTTTTTTTAAAAGGTATACAAGCTGTTTGGCAACAGCATCTGTCGTAGATTTCCAAAATTGTTGTAATTAATCCACAATGAATCATGAGATGGCCAATATATGGTTAGAAAGCTCATCGAGTCTAGTTTTTAACGCATTAAAAAGAACTTAATTCTAAGTTGGATATCTTGAGATATGGTTGTTTTAGTGAAAGGAGCTCAGGCTAAATGTATTAATTAGTTGAGTTAACACTTGTGCAATTTAATTGATTTTTGTATAAATAGTCTAAAAAAGGATTAATTAATTTTTGATGTGTTGAAATGATCTTGAATAGGTTATTAATTATTTTAGAGAAAAAAGTAAATAATGAAATCAAAATGAAGTAAGTACAATCTCACACACGTTACTTATTTTCAAATTATATATATATATATGTTTTTAAATGAATGAATGTTTTGTTTTGTTATTTTCTATGTGTGAAAATAGGATCAAGCATATGGTTATTTTGTGTTTTTCTATATAAATGATGAGCGATGCTCATGAATGAAATGAGAAAATGATTTATATTTAAGAAATGATTTTATGATAGTTATATTTTTACATCTTTGGGAAGTGAGATCATCGACACCAGAACTAGTTCTACAGCTCTAGCTAACGGGTTATAGTAGTTAGCATAGACATGATCATATAGCCTTACTAACGGGTTATAATAGTTAGCGTAAGTGTCACGGATCTAAGGAGGAGTCCTGAATCCCACATCGAGCATAATAGGAGAGTCACTGGGGTATAAAAGGGTTCACATCACCTCTGCCTTGTGAGGCACTTTTTGTAGGACAAAATTGTGAGACCAGAGGGGCTAGAGCGGACAATACCTCACAATGATGTGAACCGTGATAGGAAGGCTGATCTGAGATGTCGGATGAGTGAATGCCCGGGTCCCGGAGTCGCGCGGGTTCAGAGCTTAAGTCTCTAACCGTGACAAGTGGTATCAGAGCCAGCCCTAAATCGTTCGATCTACGTCAAGCGCCTCGAGAGAGGTAGGTAGGGTGGCCAGCCTCCGTGACGAGGGCGTTACGAGATTAGGTGCGAGAGAATGTCACGGACCTAAGAGGTAGTCATGAATCTCACATCGAACATAATAGGAGGGTCACTGGGATATAAAAGGGTTCACACCACCTCTACCTTGTGAGGTGCCTTTTGTAGGACAAAACAATGAGACTAGGGGGTACAATGAGACTAGGGGGGTCAGAACGGACAATACCTCATAAGGGTGTGAACCGTGACAGGAAGGCTGATCTGAGACGTCAGATGAGTGGATGCCCGGGTCCCGGAGTCGCGCGGGTTCGGAGCTTAAATCTCTACCCGTGACATAAGGCCCTGGCTAGTGGATTATAATAGTTAGTAATGATCATGAAGATGAAATTGTTGATACGACCAATGTTACGGGTTATAGCAGTGACCATAGCTAATGATAATCGAATGATAATGATGATTTATGATGGTGATGATTTACAATAATTTTTAATGATTGATCTATGATTTTGGTTTGATTATGATATTTGAATGATAACATATTTTGTAATGATTTATGAAGTGACATATTTTCACATTGATTTATGAATTTACAAAATATTTGACAAAACAATAATCTTTGAAATATTTTGACATTATAATTTGACGAATGTTTTGAATGATCTATATGATTTGTATAAAGCCTATACGTGCTAAGTTGTGGTTTGCTTATTCTCTATTTACTTTTTCTTTACAGATAAATAAATGATAAGTTTGCTTAATTTTATGAAAGTTAGAAGATTAAATGTGAAAGATTACTTAGTCGTAAAAGATAATGTTGGCCAATAAGATCTTATAAAATGGTTTTGTATTTTTTATATGATTTGTATTTGGATATATATAGAAATGTATCATTAGTTAGATTAAATATATGAATTTTACTTGGTTAACTATATCAGTTTATTGAAGAATTTTAGAATGATTAAGAAAAAAAACTTCGTATTACTTTAGGTTTACTTTAAGATAATATAACCGTGTTCCATTTTGGTTTCAGGTCATAACATAAAGTGATATGTCACGCCCCAAAATCGAGACATAACACAGCCATATTACCTTAAAGTATAACCCCAAAGTAAAACGAAACTTTTTTTTAATCATTCTAAAATTCTTCAATAAATTGATATATTCTACCAAATAAAATTCATATCTTTAATCCAACTGATGATATATCTTTATACATCCAAATACAAATAATATAAAATATAAAATGATATAATCTTATTGCCAACATTTTCTCCGACGACTAAGTAATCTTTTTCGTTTGATGTTCTAGCTTTTCAAAAGACTAATCATATTTAATATTCCTATCATCTATAAAAGAAAAAAAATGGAGAATGAGCAAATCACAGTTCTGTAAGTATAGGCTTACACACCTTACCGGATCAAGCATTGTTTTCATATATATCATATAGATCATTCAAAACATTTGTCAAATCACAATGTCAAAATATTTCAAAGATCATCGTTTTGTCAAATATTTCATAAATTCATAAATCGATGTCAAAATATGTCACTTCATAAATTATTGCAAAATATGCTATCATTTAAATGTCGTAATCAAATCAAATCATAGATCAATCATTAAAAATCATCGTAAATCATTTTTATATACAAATCATAGATCAATCTTTAAAATCATTATAAATCATCATTATCATGCATTTATCGTTAGCTACGATCACTGCTATAACCTATGACATTGTCTGTATCGATAATTTCATCATCATGATCATTGCTAACTATTATAACCCGCTAGTCAGAGCGTTACGCTAATTACTATAACTTGTTAGCATGGCCGTATGATCATGTCTATGCTAACTACTATAACCCATTAGTCAGGACCATAGAACTAGTTCTGCTGTTGATGATCCCACTTCTCAGGGATATAAAAACGTAGCTATCATAAAATCGTTCTTTAAACTTAAACCATTTTCTCATTTCATTCATAAGCATGCTCCATCGTTTATATAAAGAAACACAAAATAATGATATGCTTGATCCTATTTTCATACATAAAAAATAATGAAATAAAATATTCATTCATTTAGAAACATACATATATACATAGATTCGAAAATAAATAAAGTATGTGAGATTCTACTTACCTCTTTTCAATTTCATAATTTAGTTTTTCTCCCCAAATAATTAACGGCCTATTTAAGATAAGTTCAACATAACAATAATCAATCAACTCATTTGAGATCACTTATACCGAAACAATTAAGTTAAACAAGAATTAACTCAAGTAACTAATTCTAATTGCCTATGCTTCTTTCACTAAAATGATCATATCTCGAGATATCCAACTTGAAATTAAAATATTTTTAATGCATTAGAAATTAGACTCGATAACATTTCTAACCATATATGGCCCATATCGTAATTCCTTGTGGATTAATTATAACAATTTTTGAAATTCACATCAAATGCTATTGTCAGATAGTTTGTATACCTTCGAATAAAAAAATTACGTATCTATTCATAGGAAACTCCAAATTCAATTTCACTTATTCTGTTGGAAATGTAAACTCAATTTGCTTTTTAAACCTATATGGCTTAATTTGTAAATCCTTGTATAAAAATTAAAACAATTTTCATAATTCAACCTTAATACTGCTGCCTTATAGCTTGTATATCCTTAAGTAAAAATTAGGTAATTTTTCAAAAAAAACTCGAATTTAACTTCCGTTTATTTCATTAAAAAGTAGATCCAACATGCTTTTCAATGATATATAATAATCATAGCAACAATCTATCCATTAAGACAAAATTCTATTTTGATTCACTATTATAAATCATAGCATCTCATCTAAAAACAGAATTTCTCCTTCAATCTTTAAAAATTCAAATCTTCACTTTCAGCCTTTAAACTCTATTCAATAATCATCAAAAAATCTTAAGGACATGAAATAAACAAAGCCCAGTAATTTACCCAAATAGATCATGAAGATTAATAAAAATTTTCATAATTTTTCTTGATTTTTCTCTCAAAACTTTAACTCCAAATAATAGCAATCAACATGATATTTCTTCTTAAATAAAAAGAGGACATATACTCACTTTTATGGGGATTAATTTGATTGTAGCCTCTAATTTTGAATCACCAACTTGATTTTTCATATTCTCTAACTCTAAGAAAGATAAAAATTTTCATTTCTATTTTTCCATAACTAGATTTTCTTTTATTTAATATCTCAATATTTTTTCTTTTACTAATTAATATCTTAATAAACTGATGAACTTTAGTATTAATCTAATCTAATTATTATTTGAGATAAAGTATCAGACAAGCCTATGACTTGAAAGCCCACAATCATCCATCCTCTTTTTAACTCTCATCATTTGGAGAACCTTCATTGCCTCGTCATACTTATTAGTCTTAAAAGGTGTCTCCACCGTTGTCACCACAAAACCTCAAACCCTTCATCCACCATCAAATTCCAAACTTTGAAGCCTCCATCAAATCACCCTCACCACAAAACCCCCGTACCAACCATTTATAAGTAACCCCATTTGGCTTAACCGACTGTTTCAACTTTAAAGTAACAAACTTTGGCTCTTCCCACTAGCTTATCTTTACACAAACTTTCCACCACCTTATTTAAAGTCTCCAACTTGTATCCAACCACAAACTCATTCATCAAATGAAAAAACCCCACACATTTCTTCAACTCCCTAGCTAAAGCTACAGTCTTTAAAGCTATCCTGAAAGTCTTACCATTGACCAAACCAAGTTTTTAGATGAGTCTTGCTGTTGTTAGAGGATTTGACAAGGGCTTAAGCAATATTTTCATACTTATTTTACAAAAAAAATAATAGAGAAAAATGTGGAGCATTATTGAATTCCAAAAAAAGCCTATTCGAGAGAAAAGGATTGAACAAATCCAAGTTAAAGGGAATAACAAAGAAAAACAAATGCCACGCTCCTTCTTTCAAAGCCTCCCCCTGCCTTTTCTCCTTCTTTACTCTCCTCTATAAAAAAATCCTCTTACCCTTTCCTCTCCCATTATTCTTGCTTATTTCTCCTCTTCCTTTGAAGCACTTTGATTTTTTTTTTCCTTTCTTTCAATCTCTACATCGACAATGTCTAATGCAGAAAAGGAGAGAGAGACTCATGTTTACATGGCTAAACTTGCCGAACAAGCTGAACGTTACGAAGGTAATAAAAAAATAGATCATGGGTTTCAAATTTCATTCGTTTAAGATTAATGTCAACAAGGGATCATGAATTGTTACTTGCTGTCGAAGCTGAACGAACTTTAGTTTTGATTGGTGAAACAGAAATGGTGGAGAGTATGAAACAAGTGGCAAAACTTGATTGCCAGCTGACTATGGAAGAAAGGAACCTTCTTTCCGTGGGATACAAGAACGTGATTGTTGCACGAAGAGCTTCCTGGCGGATCATGTCTTCGATTGAACAAAGGGAGGAATCGAAAGGAAATGAAAATTATGTTAAGCTGATCAAAGGTTACAGACAGAAGGTAGAGGAAGAGCTGTCCAACATTTGCACTGACATATTGGGCATCATTGACAAGCATCTTATTCCGTCTTCTTCCTCTGGTGAAGCCACTGTTTTTTATTACAAGATGTAAGTTTTCTTTCTCCTGGATTGTGGTTACATTCTAAATCTCTAGTATTATTTTGGTCCAAATTGCTACTAAAATTAGAGCCAAGTCTAATAGGATATATAGACTTGGGTGTAAATGAATGGAAAATAAACGAACTTTGTTATGTTCGTGATTTGTTCCATTAATTAATGAAACTTGAAATATTATAATAAACGAATAAAAATCGAACCTGATCACAAGCTATTCATGGAATGTTCTGATCGTTTACAACTCTATTTGTAACCAAGGAAGACATTAAAATGATAACTTGAAGATTGGTAGGGTAAGAATGATGTGCACACTCTTTTTATTGAGGAAAATGAATGGTTTTTGTGATGGGATTCAGGAAAGGTGATTACAACCGGTATGTTGCTGAGATCAAGACAGATCAGGAGAGAAAAGAGGCTGCTGAACAGTCATTGAAAGGTTATGAGGTATGTTACGCTTTCTCAAATAAAGATCCTACTATTTGATCATAGTGTTCAGTTATTCACTTCTGCAGTCACAGCTGACTTAAAACTTTTTTGCTGCCATTTCACCTATCAGGCTGCCTCTGCCACTGCAAACACAGATCTTCCTTCAACCCACCCAATTCGTCTTGGCCTCTCCCTTAATTTCTGTGTCTTTTATCATGATATAATGAATTCTCCCGAGAGGTATAAACTCCATAACTATATCTAAATGGTTTTCAATGTTGGAATTGCTTGACCATTTCATGACATATTTGGTTCTTTGAAACTTACAGGGCCTGTCATTTGGCTAAGCAAGCCTTTGATGAAGCCATTGCAGAGTTGGACACTTTGAGTGAAGAGTCATACAAAGATAGCACCCTAATTATGCAGCTTCTGAGAGACAATCTCACCCTGTGGACTTCTGATTTGCCTGAAGATGGAGGTATCGTATAGATTTGAAATAAATCTAGTTTTTCTGATCAGTAACACCAGGGACCATTGTTTATTGTTCATTATTTCTTGCATCCATCATATATAGATAAAATATAAGATCTTGTCCCTCTTGTCCTGTTCAAACAAGAAGCCTTGTCGATTGATTTCAAACTTTGGCATGCTTGGGAAGCACTGTCTCAAATGTTACATGAATCAATGCAGGTGAAGATAGTGTAAAAGGTGAGGATGCTAAACCTACTGCTGAAGCTGAGGTAAAGGGCGAGGTAAAGTCTTGCCATGATTTCTTCTTCAGGAATTTATTTGTTTTTTTATTACCCTTTTAGTCACCTTCCTCAAGTCAAAAAGTCTAATTTGTTTTTGCAGAAACATTGATAAGCAATCTGGGATAATACATGGAGGCAATTCAATTTTTTTTAATACTATGCAGAATTGGCTCCTCCTAGCTTTTCTTACAAAGAGGATTGGATCAACCAGTTTAGCCCTTTTACAATGCTAACCAGATGATGAAATTGATCAGTTGATCCAACCATGTTTTACTGTTCACTCTTGTTTTTCATTTTTGATGCTTTTGTTTTTTTTAATGTTCTGTAATATGAAATACTTACTGAAATTATGGATGTTTTGTTAAATTTTGCTTTAAATTTTATCCTCTCCCCTTGTCTTTTTGCCTAGCATTTTTTTTTCCATGGTTTAAACTAAATATAATAATTTAAAATATGATATAAAAATTATATGAATAAAAAATATAAAAATAATATAACTTAAAATTTTAAAATATATATAAATAAATTTAATAAAATTAAAATTTTATATTATATTTTATGTTGATATAATTTTTATATAAAATATATAATAAATATAATAGCTTACACGATACGACGAATTAATAAATCTAATTCAAACTCAGCTTGATGAATCGAAGGACGCTTTACGAAATAAATGCATTGATATGACCAAAAACAATGCAGATACGGATACATAAACATTAATTGTTAAGAAAAAATCAGGGTTGCAAAATTTTTTCACTGAATTAGGCGCTAGAATTGAATTTTTACAAAGTTTGTATCAGCAAATAAAAAAAAAATAACAAAAATATCAATAATTTTTCTAAAACAGAGAAGAGAAGAACGTCGAGAGGGAGAGAGAGGAGGCCGAGGAAGGCGGAGCTTTGCAAGGGGATGGATGTACGGAAACGCCATCCTATTCCTCTTCCTTTTCTCTTCCACCTCTACCCGCCATCCCCTCTTATTTATTATTATAAAATTTTTCACTCGTTAAAACTAGGTTAAAAAAATTTCTACTCTTCCAGATTAAACTTTAAAATTGGAACAATTTGTTTCTTCCAATGTTGGCCAGGATTTAGTGTTTGATCCGAAATGTACTTCCCATGTAGATTTAGTTTTGTTTGTCCCATTACTGGGCTGGCCCATTATTCAGCCTGCTACCTTTTAGTTGGACTGGAGTGGCCCATGTACATGGTGGGATGGCTTGGGTAAAATCATCATCAGCTGCATATATAAATTATTATACCAGGCGGGTTGTACAATAAAGAAAGAAGTTCAGTCTCATGTCATTGAGCATGCTTAATTTCTCATTTGTTTTTTTCTAAATGAAAAATAAAATTTTGAAGAAAAAAATAATGCATGGGCATAATCTATGTCATTTGCATAATTTTTTCTATATTTCAAATAAAATATTTAATAAAATATCTCAAATACGGAATAAATATGAATTTAAAGATTATAATTTTTTTTTTATTGCTTAGGTTTAGATTTGTTAAGAGGCAGTGAAAAAATAATTTTTCATAAATTTATTAAGTTTCGCATCAATAAATCTATTTGTTTGGATCTAACTTAAAAATGAAATTAATTAGACGACACTCAAAAAAACACTTTTTAACTAAATAAAGAAAAGTCCGCAACACAAGGCATTGGATAAGGCCAACAACTGTTGACAAAACTAATTGATTTTGAGAGGGAAACTTTAGGCAAAAGACAAAACGAATCGAAACGTCCCCGACTCAAGCTTCTTGCTCTTGCTCCATTATTGAGGTTCTTGATGATTGATGACTCATCACAGCTAACTTTCTCTTTAAAAGTTTCAACATGCTGCTTTCAATTCAATTCCTCACGGCTGAAAGATTCGTCTCTTCCATTTTTTCCCTATCTTGAAACATTTTTTATAAAAATAGAATCACAAGATATCAGAATTTGAGTTTTAAATTTATTGGATATAATTATTGTGCGAATTAATTGAAATAAATCCGAATTCTAACTTTTTTTTGTCGTTGGATGTTTCTTAATGTTGTTAATTGAATCCAAAAAATATTAGATTTTGGCTTTTAACAATTTCCATATAAGCTTACCTGCCATAATTATTAGTATAGAAAGTAAAAATAATGAAGCTACGTCTCTTACTCTGTTTTCTTCGCTTCCTGTAGCTTTTAGCCTATTGGTTTCAACGTCCGAACGTCTTTGTCTCTCTTTATACTACAATAATAACACTTTTTTTCAATACCCTTTTATCCATAGTTGTTTTTTGATCTGTTTTCTTTTGCTTTTTGAATTCACAATGGCTTCAACAACTAACCCCGTTCACTCTTTGATCACAAATTCTCGGTTTTCTTCTCTATACTTGTCGACAAACAAAGTTTTGCCTAGTTGTCTTTTACTCAGGACACGATCATCACGTTCTGCAACAGCCTCATGTCTGGCGTTTTCATCTTTGCGGGGCAAAAAGAAACCTTCAGTTCCTGTTGGAATGGTCTATGCCAAGCCGTTGACATTTACTGGTTGGAATCAAACCATGAGGCGGAGGAGCCAAGTTGAGTTCCCAGTCGCTTCAGCTGCTGCTGCGGATTCTGATGGCCGTGAAATTGAGATTTCTGAAGGGTTAGGCACTTGACTTGATATTTATCTTCTTCTTGTTTAGTTTTTGCCATTATATTGTTTGGTTGCCGAGAAAAAAAGGGCAAATTTTGACTTCTGAGTTCTAACTTCCTTTTTTTTTTTTTTGTTGAAACATATAACTGCAGGTATGCAAAGCCTTCAAAGAGCTTTGCAGAGAGATTTCCTGCTCTTGTCACTGGTTTCTTCTTCTTTATGTGGTAAGCTATCATATCACAGCTATCCCTTTTTTTACTTTAACTACACTTGGGATTTAATTCATTTTGTGTTCATACAAGAATGCATCACTTTTGCTTTTCCTCCCTTGAATTATCTGGTCTTTCATGGTGGCTTCTTGATTTAAGTCCCCAAGCAATATGATAAAAGCTTCAGCAAATTAAATTGACACCTCGTTTTTCAGTTTGTCTGGCTGAAATAGTGCTTTTCATATTGATGGTTCTCTCAATCTGTGCAGGTATTTCTTAAATGTAATTTTCAACATTCTCAACAAGAAGGTCTACAATTATTTCCCATATCCATAGTACGTTACGCCGGCTAGATGAACATGTTCAATAGCATATCATGAGAATAAATCATGCATCATTAGAAAGATCTAGATAGAATTCTAAAGAGTTCTTTCATTTTCTCCCTTTTGTAGTTTTGTTTCAGTAATACATCTGCTAGTTGGCGTGGGTTATTGTCTTGTGTCTTGGTCTGTTGGCCTGCCTAAAAGAGCAGTAAGCTTAGTTTTCTCAGCTCTTTGCTGCTCAATATTACATTATGGCCTTCCTCTAGGAAACATAATTTCATTCTATTTTACCAGCCAATTGATAAGGAGCTGTTGGGGCTACTGACTCCTGTTGCTTTCTGCCATGCCCTTGGACATGTCATGTCCAATGTATCATTTGCAGCTGTTGCTGTGTCCTTCACTCACACTATTAAAGGTAACATGATTTTTGAAAAAGGCAAAGGCATCAGTTCTAGGCCTAATATGTCTTTGTACTAAGAAGGAATATTTTAATGTGTTTACACAGCCCTGGAGCCATTCTTTAATGCTGCAGCTTCTCAGTTTGTTTTGGGCCACCAGATTCCTCTATCCCTATGGCTTTCATTAGCTCCTGTCGTTATTGGTGAACTTTTTTGGATTTCCATCATGTTCTTTCTACTTCTTCATTCTTGCTCGCAAAAAGATTCCATCTGATTTTCAAAAACTTGTCATGTAAAACAACTTTACCTTTGATTACTCTTACCATCTGATGTTATCTTCCGCTTTACCTTTAGGTGTTTCTATGGCCTCACTTACTGAACTTTCTTTCAATTGGACTGGTTTCATCAGTGCAATGATTTCGAACATCGCATTTACTTACAGAAGCATATATTCAAAGAAAGCAATGGTAAGACAAGGAATTTTCACCTTACCATTACATTTGAAGCCCCATATCTTCTAGTGGATTAGTATCAGATTTGCACCTTATTCATGTCAATAAATTGACTTACTGCATATTGAAAATACTGCGCAAACATTAATGTTGAAAATTCTGAATCTGTTGCATAAGAGATGAATTAACAATGGTAGCTTTTGTTCTTGTTTGACAGACAGGGATGGATAGCACAAATGTTTATGCATATATTTCTATAATTGCCCTCTTCTTCTGTCTCCCACCAGCAATTTTGGTAAGTAAATAAAAAACGCATAAGATCTTCATGTACTTTTCACTTTGATTAAACTATGTATCACTAATGGTTTGCTAACATGGATCTGATCTGCATCCAGATTGAGGGCCCTCAGCTGATGCAACATGGTCTCAGAGATGCCATTGCCAAAGTTGGCTTAGTCAAATTCTTGTCGGACTTGTTTTGGATTGGAATGTTTTATCATCTCTACAATCAGGTATGTATGATAGATGAATTGGACTGCTCATTACCTTTCCACAAAGCTCACTTCACTGAACTAACTGATATTTGAGCTGAGAAATGCAGGTTGCTACAAATACCTTGGAACGGGTTGCACCCCTTACACATGCAGTCGGAAACGTGTTGAAGAGAGTTTTTGTTATCGGCTTCTCTATCGTGGTATTTGGTGAGTAAGCCTGCTCTTTCTCATCTATGATATGTTAATGCAACAAATTAAAGCATGTCAGAAGATCTGAAATGGAGTGAATTGAATCAAGAAAACCACCTAAAAAGATAAAGATAAGATGGCATCCAAAGTAGTCAAGCTAGTTAGTTTCAGTGGAACTGAGAAGTGAGAACCATGATTCATTTATTTTTTAACCGATGGTTGCAAAAATATGGCAGGCAATAAGATCTCCACCCAAACTGGGATTGGTACTGCAATAGCAATTGCAGGAGTTGCCGTTTACTCACTCATAAAGGCAAACATGGAAGAACAAAAAAGAGTAAGATCTCTAACAAGCAGCCATGACTCTTTCATTTCTGCATGGTCTACAATTGCAAAGGATAATTCAGACTCAAGTTGAGACCATAGTTTTTTTTCTTCCTTTTTTTCCCTTAGTTTTGGGCTGCTGATTATTCCTTCTTTCTGCCCTTTCAGAAGGCTGCTGTAAGCCCTGCATCCTAAGGAAGCTGTAGAAGGCTGCTTACAAACTTGTTGAAGATGGGTGCTCTGGAAAACACATTTGGGAATGGGAAAGAATAAGACCCAACTTCTCAGATAGATTTATTGGATGAATGATTCTTAATGAGAAAGACTATTATTTTTTTAAAAGGTTGAATGCTTAATTTGGATGAATGATTCTCAATAAGAATCCAATCATTCTTATTGGATTCGCATTTGCATTTCTTAGTAATTACTATCATAATCACACCCACTTTTTGTAAAGCAGCCTGCTCGACCTGGCTTGCCCATCGGGCTCATCTTTCTTGCTCAAAGCAGGACACCACCACCTGATTCGATGGGGCCAGAAGAGGACAAACATGAAACGCCCTTAGACCTGCAGCAGCAAGCATCTCAGCCCCTCAGGCAGAAAGAGCTCAGATTTATGCACAACAGTCATGGTAGTTAATTCAAACAATCTCAACTTACTCATTTAGAATGAACTAAAATCTGAGCAACCTTAATTACCCCTTCATGAACCAAAAGAAGCCTACTACAATAAGTTCAGGCAAATTAGTATCAACATCCATCATCGTTAAACCGCATATGGAGAGATGAACAAGAGAGCCAGATTAAATTAAAAGGTTGAAAAAATAAATAAATTTATGCTCATCGCTCCTTAAATAATTGGGATGGTTCTACATTTATTTGTCAACATGAGAATACCTTTTGATTAACATTTTGTGTTCCTACTCAGAAAGCATATAAATGGGAAAATAAGAAGAATAGAAAAACTAGGAAAAAATTCACAAGCTATGGTCATGACATTTATCCTGCCAAGGCTCAAAATTGATAAAAATCAAATAATGTACAGAAAAGTGGGTTCATAGTTCTTTGGACCTTGCAACATGTGAACTTGGTGAACCCTAATCATCACTGTTGATATTTCCAACATAAAATAGACCTGAATCTGCAATGAGAGGTTAATTCCGAGTAAAAAAAACCATCTGGCAGTGAAATTCTATAGCAAAAATTCAATATTTTCAAATCATCATAAGAACATTGTAGAAAAATCAACTATGAACCTTCTGTCTCAATCCTAAGCAAATATACAAAAACTTTCTGGACCTCCTCATGCTAGTATTTATACCATAAGACAGCAGAGCCTACCTATGATGCATATTCAGTGCCATAGTCAAGATCAAAAAGTATGCCCCTGCGGTTTTCTGAGCCCATTCGAATGCTGAATTTCTTTGCCAGGGATTCAACTTGGTCATCACACTCATAGTCCATCTCTCGTATACATCGCCTTCTGACCTTTTTTAGTGTTTCTTTGGAGGGTATAAATCCAGCAGTCACCTGCCGAAAGAATTGTTGAATGGCCATTAATCTTTTTCTACTGAGATATCATGAGGTTTTAACTATCAGAAAGGAAAAGAAGTTACCATCTCCTCAATTACAGAGAGAGCAGCTTTTTGATCTCGATTGATGAGATGAGCATCAACAAGCAATGAATATGACTTAGCATTAGGTTTGACACCCAAGCTCAGCATGTGTTCAAACACCCTTGAAGCTTCAAAAGTCTGCCATGCAAGGATTCATTAAGTTTAAATTCAAAGCTTAAATCCCAAGAAAGCACCTTTTGGTTGGGGGGAGGGAGTAGGCTCCATGAGTTATTTAGACTGTAGGAGTATGCTATGGGCCCGAGAGAGAAAAAGACAAGAAAAAGAATCAAGCAAAGCATTTCCAACATATCTTGGATACATGCATTTTACAAGCTCAAGATAACTCATAAATACAGCCATGTGTACTGGTTGCAAGTGTATGTGCACATACAAGAGAGAGGTAACAGATACATACCTTCTTCACCTTTCCAAATGCATAGATTAGAGCATTATATGAATGAATATCAGGGGTAAGCCCAAAAGAAGAACTTATTGCATCAAATGTTTGGTAGGCACGCTCAATGTCCCATATGTTTCCACAACCCAAAATTATACAATTCAAAGCAGCGACAGACTTTTTTGGAGGGTTTGCATGGCTTAAATTCTCAAGCTCATAATATACCTAGAGAAGATATTTCAATTTTGCAACATCAGCAACAGACTCCTCGATGAGCAGAATATATGAGATGAGGTTAATGAAAAATTGTGAAAGAGCAATGATAAATTGAATGCTATAAGTGCAAACTTGAACAGCCTTCATTTTTTCAAAAGAAAAAAAAAAAAAGAAGACATTTTCCTCGCACAAAATTGTTATTACAAGGACACAAATAAGTGTTAAATTCTGATAAAGTGACATAAAGACATACATTCTGATATAATCGCTAAGACATGTAGACAATAATGCGTACATTGCAAGAACAGAATGATGGAGTAACAGTTATTTGATTTCCAAAAATTCCACAATTCAAAACACAAAGACAAGTGATTTAAAAGACTTCATTCAAATGCTCAATAAGCATCCAATGGAGTAGCTTAAGGAGCTTCCCTGATATTTATTTATTATTAATTGTTAAAATTGGACTTGTTCTAATTTGAAAAAGCAGCATGCATGCATGTTGATATTTCTCATACTATTTTCTTTTTCTCAAGAACTATCATAATCACCAAAAATATTAAATAATAGCTGATTCAAAAGAAAATCAATCAGAATGCATATAATTTGAAGTATAAAAGGACATACTGAATCCAAAGTCTCAAAACCCTTCTTTGAGCAAACCACAACCAATGGATATAAAGAGGTAAAAGGTGAGAACGAATCTTCTGCTTCATTAATGGAATTCCCATGAGCTGCCTCAAACATGTGCAGCGTAGCAAAAGCTTTCTGTAGATTCCCCAATGATGCATGAGCATATATCTTCCCAAGGAAAGATTCAGTGCTAGGCACCTTCTTTTGACGCAAAGAGTGCCGTAGGATTACCCAGGACATATCCAACAGGTTTGAACTGTAGGTCCTACCTGCAGTTGCAAGTGCTGATACAATTAAACCTTCATCTACAGAAAGCAATAAAGGTGGCCTTGCAATTTCGCCCCAAGCAATCCATTTGCCCAAAAATTCCAAGGCATAAAATGCTAACTTGCTGTTATCCGCTTGCATTGCAACTTCTGCAAGATAGTTGCACAAATTCCAATTTGGATAAAGAGCTTTATTCCGATCTGTTGTCTGATAAGAACCATGAGAACAAAGTTACATAATAAAAAATTTAGCAAAAGGCAACCTCCTTACTCAAAACAATATCATTGCTAACAAAATGAGTCATATACCTTGCACCTCTCAATGACAGTAACCAAATTGTCAAGCTGGCCCTGGTTAATACAGTACCACACACATTCTGTAAATGCTTTCGTAGACAACTTACAACCAAATTTTAAGGCCATATCTACATATTTCAAGGCTGCATCAATCTGTTGTGTCCCAAATAGCATTCCAATAACCAAATCATAAGATTCATCATCAGGCAGAGATTCTGTTCCACCTTGCAGCATCCTGATGGGAATAAAGTGAAGGGTGATAATACCAATTTAATATTACTAATATTTTAGAAAGTAATTCCAAATATAAGCAATAAACTTAAAGCAGTATCTTACTGATGCAATGGAATTCCTATTCGAAAATGAATGTATATCCTTACTGAAAGTAAATTGATAAAAGAAAGGTTTCTAATTCTTTAAAAAGAAATATTGCATCATCTCCATTTCTGTTCCACTTCATAACCCAACTGCGACGTTCATCCACTTTTAATTCATCTAAGAACAGTAAAATCCACCAAAACCATGAACCTCCGACCAAAGACAACCAAACAATACCCAAGTCCAATAGTTTTACAATCACAGAGATTATTGTACCCAAAAGAATTTTCTCCAGAACATAGTCACATTCAAATATAAAGGATTCAAATTCTCAATACAATTAAAAAAGAAAAAAAACTTATAACTCAAATACTCAATCCACTCTAACTGCTACGAAATGCAAAGCAACAAACTTTAATAGCAAATGAGAAAAAAATTTTATTTCCCTTTTCATTTACTAACTCAGAACGAAATGTTTATGAAACTTTCAAGCAAAGGGTAACCTACATTTACACCAAAACACCCAAAAAAAAAAAAACAATACATTTATACCAAAACACCCAAAAAATACAAACTTCAAAAGAGAGAAAGCTAAAAAAGTATAGTAGTATAACTAACCGTTCAAGCAACTTCTTAGCGGCTTCAGTTTCCTTAGCTTGATTCATAGCCTTTAAAACCAAATTATAGGCCACTGTATTGGGAACAATCGCAAATTCATCCATTTGCGTCACCAAATCAAGCAAATCCCCTGCCGAAGCTCCCATCATCAAATTAGCTCTCAAATAATGATTATAAAGATTCACATCGGGCTTATTGGGCTTCCCGTTCTTATCCAGCGATCGAACCCAGAACTCGAAAAGCTGTTTCACGTCGGTCCACTGTTTCTTAGTCATCCAATCAGCGAAATGGTTCATTAAAGCAGGCGCGTCGAGGGTTTGGGAGAGGTATTGAATCCGATGGGCAGGGGTTTGGGCCAGGAAGCCGAGGGGAATAAGGGATTGAGCTAGGGAGGTCGAATTTTTTGCCACATTGGGGTTTCGCCAGTTCTCGTGGTAGAGAGGGCTGCCAGAGGCCGGGTTGGGAGGTAGAGGAGTGATTTGAGTTTGAGTGGACTGAGTCAACTCGGTGAGTTGAGGTTCTTGAGAAAGGAAAGGGAAGGTGGAAATACATTTGGTTCGGTTTACTAGGAGTTGGATTCGGGTTCCGGTGAAGATCGCCATTTGTGAAGCCATTTTTTTCGCTGTCCAAAGTGAAGCAGTGAAGCAAAAGAGCCTTCTGTCCAGGTTAGGGTTTTTGAGATGACGAAAAGGGGTATCTTTGTTGGAGGATATAATAGTAATTTTCCAATACAGTGGTAATTTGGTAATTATCTGGAACCGTTGTGGGCATTCACTTTTAGCCTAGCAATCTCAGCGGTTTGAACAAAGGATAACAGGACAGTTGGTTCGAAGTTCCAACTCTGCTTTTAACTCCGGACAAAGATTTTAAAACAGAGAGGACATCCCGACACGACTGTTGATCCAACTCCACTTTTAACTCCCGAAGTCAAGCACCAACATTTAACTTACAGAAATAAATTTAATAATTTAAAATATAATTCGATATCAATATATTATAAAAATAAAATATAAAATTAATATAATTTAAAATTTTAATAGTTATTATATACATGTTTAACAAAATTTTTAAAAATATTTCATATTTTTATATCTGTTTAAATTATAATATATAATTTTTATGTAAAATACGATATAAATATATAAATATTAATATTTTATATGAATATAAAAAATACATAAGCACTAGGCAATCTGATTTCATGTCTGCATATATATTTATAGGGCTTTATGTTTGCATAGATATTTATAGGTCTTTCACTAAGTACCAGGAATTTTACTGACAAAATGAATCGACAGGATGAAACATTTTACAAGCAGGAAACTACGAAAGAAACAAAATTCTTGCTGAAATCTGATACATACAAATGGAATGGATCCAAAATTGCTATTGAATTTTATCAAATCCTTACCATCAAACGACAAAGGCAGGGATTTTGATCCCCAAGCCTCAAATTCAAAACCATAGGCATCACACATCATCTTATGAAACATGATGGGCCAAACATTATGGCAAATCATCTGGTGATAACTAAATAAAATGATACTCCATCCCAAGTGACAAAGCAGGAAGATTTATTGTTTCAGCCTGAATGCCTGCAGATTATTTGCAGGTTTTGTCCAGCACATCGTTCAAGTTCTTATACTCCAGTGCACAACATGATTATAACATCAAAGCTGCTAAATATTGAGAGATCAATGAAGTAAAGCTCAAAGTAAAGTATATTCTAAATACAAATTACAATAAATTAATTGTTACAGCAATGCATGATTGGCTCATACAAATATGATCCCATTCTCCTTAATGGTGTCTAGAACTATCCCTAGCTTACCTTCAATCCTCTCACCCTTTCTAGGCTCATAGGACATTGCATAGACATCGGCTTCCTTTGATCGTTCAGCAATAAGTTTCCCTATTATTCTGCATGCATTGTGATCTGTGAGTGATGGCAAATTGTTTCGAAGATCCTTGGCATTTGTGGTAGCAACCGATATCACTTTGCTTGTACCCCGATGCATCACTTTGGCATGAATAAATTTCTTTGAAAAGAAAACATTTAGTAAAAATGGCCTCATATACATATCAGTCCTTTGTTTCCATGATTTCCTATTGGGTTGCTTTGCAGCTTCACCGCGGGATCTCCTAGTCCAGGCAGCTTGAACAAAAGAACCCTAAAAATAAATGTCAAACAAAATAACTTAAATTCTCTTCTCTTCCCTCGACAGATTTAGCTGCCTGAAGCTAGCATCAATGAGGAACGGAAAATCATAATTTAATATCATAGAACAAACCAGCGCAAACACATCTACGACTTTTCAGCATGGAAATTAAAATCTGCACTATTTGGGATCGGTAAAAATGTTAAACAGTACACAGATCCCTGTGGGTTCAAAGAGTGATTAAAATTATCATCAGATGCATTCTGCTGTACGCAGAAGAAAAACTGTGCATATGAGTTCACCAGTTCACAGATTTTGATCATTGATCCTACTATGATGAAACCCCACCCCAGGGAACATCTAGAACAATGATGTGAAGAGAATTTGATGCTCTCAATTGAAACAAAACCTAAGATTAAAAATCATTTCTTTTTTATTTTTGGAATTTGCTTTTGACATTTACAGCTAACTGCGGCCTTGAACAAACTGATAAACAACAAAACAAGTACATGGTAAGATGTTGTCTCATCTCAACTATCAAAATAAAGTACCATGATATTGTTCTTCTCAAAAGCATGAAAGTTAGGAATTTATCAACTTTTCAGTGTTTAATATCCATCACTTGCTTCAAGATGAATCTCCATGATGCAGAAGTTGTTTAAAATTTTCAATGCCTTGGCATAATCAAAGACAAACAATAATATTGCTATTTCTAGACATTATGAAAATTTAGTTGCCTTAGCATATATCTCTAAATCACATTGGAAAGAGATGATTCCTTCCAAACCACTAAACTCTTGACAAGATCAAAAGACATCATGGAGTTCCAATTAAAAGAGTGAATCAACAAAAGTGCACTGTGAAGGACAATTTTAGAAAACTTTGTCAGACAACCATCATTTTGTGTAACAAACCAGCAAGCAAACAGGATTCAGTAAACCACAGAGGGACCATCATTGAAAAGATCACAAAAAAAGTTGAGTCAGTATCATATTAAAATTTTTTATCTAGCAAATTATGTATTGAATGGTTCAACTCCAATCCTATATAGTTCAGTAGCATTTAGCAGACTCTAAAAATCCAATATCATGAAATTTAACAATTAAAAATGGAAAAAAGAAACTAAAAACTCAGATTTTTTGACATGCTCAGTAGTTGAACAGAGAGCTAATGACTCCAATCATAGCATCTATTGCAATTAACAATGAAATATGGAGAAGCTCTTTTATTTACTTCCAAAAACCAGAAATTTGAATCTATACTCCCAAATTTAAAGCTATGAAAAACAATTTATCATCTAAAACAGATAAGCTATTCACAAAACCAATATTAATCATTAATCAAGCATGCTTTATCTACATGAAACCAAGAACACTGAATAATGTTTTGAAATCGAAAGGCAAAGGCAAACCAAACTCACCACTACCAGCAAGTTAACAATTAAACTCCCATCGTTACAAGCTTATCATTTGTCACAAACCCATTTTTATTTCAAGTAAATTTAGCATTCCGAGCAAAGTTATAACAGTATTGTTAAACATTTAAAAAAACCCATTATGCCAACCAAATTCCTTTCCCAGGAACCAAACAAATAATGTTCAAAGAAAGACAAAAAAAAGAACACCTTGTTCAGAGAGGGAGCAGAAGGAAGTGTAAACGAGTTAATGGAGATGTTGATACTGGGAAACGAAGAGACCCATGAGAGTGAGGTGAGGTTGTTGAAGCGTCCTGAGTGAGTCGGGAATGAGTCGAGGGACCGCGTTGGTAAAGCTGATGAAGAAGATATTAATATCATGGACGCCATTTTTCTTCCCTTGTGTTATCTCTGCGTTTTTTATTCTTAAGCTATTAATCTGGGCTTGAACACCAAGGCTTCTTCTCTTTGTTGGGCCACCGAGGTTAGGACTGTCAGCCAACATTTGACGCTAAAGCCCAAAATAGCTCGGGGAATTCTAAGCCACAGAAAACTTGAGGCAATGGCCAATCGAGGCTTTGCTTTCTCAACTTCTGAAAACTACACCAATCTGATGAGTTAGAGTTAGTGATCCCTCTGATGGCATCCACCACTCATCTTCACGCTCCATATTCTCTCTTACTCAAACCCCGAAACATAACTCACCTGCAACAAGACTTCAGAGCAGCAACAAGGAGAGCAATAACTAGAAGAACAAACTACAGTAGGCTGAGTGTTTTTGCATCACGGGGGCCAAGCAAACCCCAAAGAGCTCCTCCAGGAGTTGATACCAGAATCCACTGGGATAATGAAGATGAAGGGTGGATTGGAGGGCCATCGAATTCACAGCAAACCAAGGAGAAGCTGAATGCTGAAGAGGAGCAGAAGAATCTCCTGGGTGATAAGTTTGCTGACTTGCTCAATTATTCCGATTCTCATTACCAGTGAGTCTTGTTGTTAGCCAATTGCTTCACTTTTAATTTATATGTGTTTCAGGTGTTAATGCAAATTGTGACACGATAAAACCATTAATTTTTCCTGAATTGTACAAACCCTTAGTGGGATGTACAGTATTTACGGTTTCTAAGTTATAATTATGCAGCCATTGATGGAACTCTGGAACTTAAAATTGTTCAGTTAATACTATTTCTAACTCTCCTATTAACATTGACCATATACAGGTTCCTAGGAGTCTCTGCAGAAGCTGATTTGGAAGAGATTAAGGCAGCTTACAGAAGGCTATCAAAAGAGTACCATCCTGACACAACTTCACTTCCACTAAAAGCAGCTTCAGAGAAATTCATGAAGTTAAGAGAGGTTTATAATGTTTTGAGCAATGAAGAGAGTCGTAATTTCTATGATTGGACACTTGCTCAAGAGGCTGCAAGCCGTAAAGCTGAGAAACTGAGGATGAGGTTAGAAGATCCTTACCAGCAAGACTTAAGGAACTATAAACCGAAACCCGATATGGTTGATCGTCTTGGTGGGAGGAACATTGAGCTAAGTGATCAAGCAATGACAGCCCTCACCTTTGATGTTTTTATCATTGTCTTTGCAATTTGTTGCATCATTTATGTGCTTGTATTTAAAGAACCATATTACTAGCTAGGATGAGCAGTTTAGAGTGAAGAACCTCAAAATTGTACATAATGGTCATTAAAATGAATCTATAGTTGTTGAAGGTTTTGTATTTGAAGAAATTTTTGATAATTGAATTGATCATAGTTCTTTTTTTTGTCATAAATAATCCATAGATGCAAAATTCTCTAATGTGCAGAGCTTCTCCAAATGGTTTCTGTCATGATAATAAACACCAACAAAAGATCAATACCAAGTTATTAGACCTCCTCATCATACATGGGAGAGGTCAAATCCACCCACTTTCCTTTCCTCTTCTCTCCTTTTCCATCCCAAACACACATTGACTTAACAATAGTGTCCTTATTTGCAGAAAAAAGGTACATTCCCTTTATTTGGTCTCAGGTCCAACCCTCTGAAAATCTGTTATTCGGACTCGAGAGTGAGTATCAGATGTAGAAATGGAAACCTCTCATAAATTAAACCCAAACCTGACAAAGAGAAACGTCATCAAATTATATCTACTACACATGATTAACCAAGCCAGATCATAAGTATAATTGTGTCACTTGGAGTTATAATAAATTGATTAGAAACACCATACAAGTGGCATTAGCTGTATGGTAGGTTGATTGGAACAGCTTAATTTGCCCAACAACCCAACCCTTACTCAAGAATCCTTAGCTGGGAATAATCTACAGGCATTGTTAAGAATATCAGCACATGCTTTCAATGTCTCTTTACATTTTGCTTTCTCTTAAGCCTACCATACATTCTCTGTAGTTAGAATTTTTAATTAGAGTTCATTTCATATTTTCATTGGATGATCTCTTGCCCAGAACGCAGTTAGCTTTAGCTAAACTAAAAAAGTTAATTCATATCTCGTATAATTGATCAGGAATTGACATTTGACATTTAAACATGGTCTAAAATTAGTGGTAGTTCCGTTTGTAAGGTTAAGTTCGATTCTCGTTGTAAATTCAATATAAAAATTTCGCTGAAAACTGTTTTGCAGATCTAATGTAAACCAACTGGCCCGGAGAGATTGCTAAGAAACAAAAAGGTGGTTAGCTAAAGGCAAAATTAAATAGATTTGATAATCTAAAGTATGATATATTGATACGATAAATATAATATAAAAATAATATAATTTAAAATTTTAATAATAATTATATATAAATTTAATAAAATTAAAAAATATATTTTATATTTTCGTATCGACATAAATTATAATAAGTAATTTTTGTATAAAATATAATATAAATTTTAATATTTTATATGATATAATATATAAATCATTAAATCTAAAATCAACCTAAATAAATGTAAAAAGCATCTGGGCATAATCTATAAAAAATTGTTTTGGGGTGGTCCAATTATTCTCTTTTGAAGCAGTAGGAAATTTCAAAACCCCAATCGATACCTTTAGAGATTGATCAAAATAAAGTAATAAAAAAGCAACCACATAATTTCAAACACCCATTCCCTTCTTGAAGTGTTTTTTCCTTTTCCCCTTTCCGCTACCCACCACCTAACCAACTTGTTTGCTTACTACCAATCCTCCTGTATTACTTCCACTTGTCACCTTCTATTGTCCCCAATGTTAGTAATTATGCAACTAGTCAATTTCAAAGCTTCATTTTAACTCATCAATTAAGCCTTGGTATGTATGTCGATATGGAGACCTCAAACTTAGACATGATAATACATGTATTTGTATCGTGAAAAATATTGATAATTTATATATTTATATTGTATTTTATAAAAAAATTATGTGTCATAATTTTTATCGATACAAAAATATAAAAAATATTTTTTTGTTTAACCTATTTATGATTTTTGTTAAATTTTTAAATTATATCATCTTCGTATCTTTTATTCATATCATTTTTATGTAATATCATCATATCATATTTTAAATTATGAGATTTATTTCAACTTTGTCGAGTCACCATTCTGGCCATTATAAACAAATAAATGCAAATTAAAAAAAAAAAATTGCTTTGGTTAAACCAACAATTATAGGTGACTTGAAAAGCAACATAATTACAAAAAAGTAATGCAGTTTGTTAAATGAAATAGAGATTTGTAACCTTGAAGTAAATTGGGAGTAAAAGGGAAACAACTGATGTAGCCAACTAGTAGTAGTTAGAGTCAAGATAACCTAAAAATGCAACACATTGCAATTGAAATTAATAATTTAAGTTGATTTCTTTAAAGAAAGATGCTTCCATGAAGAAAAATAATGCATATAGTTCAAAGCTTGACATCTCACCAAACATGGACAGTACCTCACAACCATACCATATGTAAATGTACCCAAAAGAAATATGATTCAATATTTTAAAGCCATGAACCCAAAAGAATTCAATATTTTAAAAGCATTTTCCCTTTTGGTGTTTTTAATCTCGTGAATGATTTTTAAATTATAATAAAATATTTAAATTTTAAAATTTTTTAATATAATATTTGAATTATTAATTTATTAATTAATATGATAATTATCTTTAATTAATCTAATTTTAAATGATAATATATGATGGATAAATTTTTTAAATCTCATATTAATTAATAAATTCATAATTAAATATTATATTAAAATTTTTTAAAATTTAAAAATTATATTAAATATTTTATTATAATTGAAAAATACATTAATTATTTTTTATCATATTTGATTTCTAAGTTATACTATTTATTTTATCACAGATTATTTCATGAACAGAAGAAAATTATGATATGCTTACTCACTACGTTTATAAGAGATAGTGAGAAAAAGAAATTATTGAATTTCAGAACATTTAACACAATCCTGTTTTAATGTTGTCTCCTTTGCAAGATAAGAAACAACGTACAATGCCCAATGTAGAACCAAACTTCATTAATTCATCTCAATCAAAAGCTGAAAAAGAAGGAACACCACAGACACAGTGCAAGCTCAGCACATTGATAAAAAAGACAAAAAAGGGTCCCCAACCCAACGGCAGGAGAATAGAACCATTGGTCACCCTTCACCTCACTTTCACTGTTTCACAGCACCAACCTAAACCATGTTGGGTTAAGTTTTGACCCTTAGTTTATGACCGTTGGAGAAAAAAGCATATATATATATATATATATACATACATTATGTGCCATAAATTATATGAACATACATACGCATGAGAAACTGAAAAAAAACAGTCAAATAGATGAAAAAGACCTTGTTTTGGGATTTGCTCAGTTTCCAATGACACTTAAAAGATATCCAACAATGTAAACATTTAATACTATGTTCCAGGTTGTTTTTAAGACATAGTATACTGTAATAAAAGGAGTCCTTGCATATCAGATACCGACACTCATTGTCACCAGTCACTACCCACCGTCATACTTTTTCTCTTTCTCATTGTTTGTCTAGATATCTCCATTTTCTCTAGCTCTCTTGCTCTCTTTGATTTCAAGTTCAACCATCTTTAATCTTGCATATATCATGGCTCCTTTAATTTGGCTAGTGCTTCTCTTGGCAATGAGTGGCCATTCAAGTATGTTTCTTGGTTTTTGTGATTTTCTTTCTTTTTCAGGTTCAGATTAGATTTAAAGATTTTTGGGCTATCATATTTCTTAAAGATCAATTCTTTTCATCTTCATTGTAAAGAATTTTCAGAGAATATTTTTGTGACTGCTTTTCTTGTTTGAATGCAAAGAAAAAAAAACCATTTTTCATAGAGAATCTTTCATCTTTGTTATGAAATTTTTCATTAAAAAAATTTACTTTTTGGTTGTTTATTTGTGCTATTGGATTTTTTCGGATTGTTCTTTGAGTGGTTTTCATTGTGATGTCAGAAGCTAACTTTTTTTTTTTTTTTGGTTTGGGGTTGTCCTGTTTTCTGTCTACAGGTGCTACTTATTGCTTATGTAGAGATGGATTGAGTGATCAAGCTCTCCAAAAGACCCTGGATTATGCTTGTGGAGCTGGAGCTGATTGTACTGCAATCCTCCAAAATGCTGCTTGCTATAATCCCAACACTGTGAAAGATCACTGCAACTATGCTGCCAATAGTTATTTCCAAAGGAAAGGTCAAGCTACAGGAAGCTGTGATTTTTCTGGCACTGCTGCCATTAGTGCCAACCCTCCTGCCAGTAAGTCCTTTGACCAACCCTTCTTTTACTGAATATTTCTTTCTTCTTTCCTTTCTATTTTTGGATTTTCTAAATTATTTTTTAACAATTTCTTTGTGATTTGCAGATATTCCTTCTACTTGCAGCTATCCCTCAAGGTATGGTTTTAGATTTAACGTTTCAGCTTGTTGATTCTGCAGTGAGGTTCCAAAATCCACTTTCACATCTAAGTTTCATTCTGATATGTTTCACTGAATCCTTTTTCTGTTAAAACTAGAATCTGCCACTTTGATGAAAATCTTTTCTCCAGTTTCCAACTATCCTCTGATGTTATGGTCTTAGCTTTGGGATTTTTCTTGTAGGTACAACCGACATGGTATATATGAACTGGATTTTGCTTTCAGAAGCAACTTACATAATAGAGTCACTTTGCCAATTTTCATTAATAATTTTTATGATGGTCAATTAAGTAAAGAGTAGATCTAGCCTAGCCCCTCTCAAATAGCTAAATCATTTTTCCTTTGATTTCATTAGAAAGAGGCTAGCTTGTTACAGCTCTGAGCTGTCATGATGTTGATATTTCAGAAGTTGTTTGTCTTCTTTCTTATCTAAATACTTATGATTCCCGGATTTTTGTTGGAAATTTGTTATATTCTCATGTTAGCATGTTACCATTTTGCTTTCATAGAATGATTGCTTTTTTTTTTTTTAACAGTTCACCATCTAAAATTCTAATTTTCTTCTGCTAAATTTTGCAGTAGCACAGGCACAACCACAACCACCACAACAACTGGAACAACCACAGGGACAACCACTGGCACAACCACTGGGACTCCTACAGTTTTTGGCGGTGGCACCACCCTTGGCCCAACAGGAACAACAACCATCAATGATCCAAGTGTTGCTGTGGCTCTCTTCAGAACCACTAACAACATTTTCTTCACTCTTATCATGACCCTTTGCATTGTAGGGTTGTATCGGATATGAAGATGTAGTACAAACTAGAGGAAGAAAAGGAGGAATGGGTGGTGTTTGATGTGTGGATGAGATTTTGCCATGATGGTATTATTAACATTGGTGTATGTAGGGATCATCTAATAGAGGCAAACACCCCCACTAGGACTTTTTTTCCTTTGTCTTTCTTTTTTGTTTCATTCCTCCTCCTTGCCTATGTGAAAAAAAGCTTTGGAATTTCATGCCCTTTTGAGTGGTGATATGACTGCCATTGCTGTAGTAGAAGAACCTGGTCACTACTTTTTGGATTTTCCTCTGTATATCTAAAGATAGGGCACTGTTATTTAATGAGAATTTGTTTAATGAAAACTACTTCTGCTATCCATTGTTAATGTACTTTGTTCATTTCAAGCCTCAATAAGTGGACTGGTGTTTTCTTTTTGAATTGGTGGATAGTGATGTATCATGGTCAAAACTGAGGATCAGATCAGAATTATTGACATTAGACGGTGCAATGCATGGCCTAAATTTGTATAATATCATTATTAATGAAGTTTTTTTAGGCCATGGAGCTTCTGATTGTGACTTGTGAACCACCTACCAACCTTTCGGTTACAAGCACACCGAAAAGAATTGATAGATGATAATTTTTTGAGAGATATAACACTGTATCAAAAATAATAACCATGTAGAACCCAAAATGGCAAAACTCTTTTACTAAAAATGTCTCCTACATTGCTCATCTCACTCTCAATAATTTTTCAAAGAATAAGTGACCTCGAAAAGGATGAGGTCAAGACAGGCCAATCACATCATTTAAGAGTTTTAGGTATGATGCGTTTAACTCAAAACACTCAGAAGACTTTATTTAATTAATTCATATAGTTATTTTTAATGTCTTTTTATGTAAAACAAAAAACATTGGAAACTTGTAAATGTGTCCATAACTCATTCCCTGTCGTTTTTATGTTCTTAACAATTTTGTTTTTGCATCTTAACCTGCAAACGGTCACAATCCCATATAGCCAATGGCATCTCCCGTTGTGGCAATTGAAACCATCCCAAATTATGTGTTTTTGGTAGAAGCAAGCAACAGAAGAGCAATTTCTAAAACAAGTAGAAACGAAGATAACCATTGTGATTAACATATCAAGCGGCTCGAGATATGGTTGTCATGGCTCTGTAGAAATGTAGAGATGTTGCATCTTTGTTTTTCAGTTGATGGGTGATTACTGAATGCTTGGAAAAACCATACGATGGTTTCGGGATTAAACAGAAGGAATTGTTGAACATTCTGATACTATGGTTTGGTTTCCATTCTGATTTATGCTTGCTGCACAAGGACAAAATAACTGACAAGAGGTACAGCTCTCACATATCTTGGCTAGACAAAGTGATACAATTTGGATGGATCACTTGCCGCTTTGAAGTACAGTCAATGAAGAAACCAGTGTTATATCCCTTTACAGGATCAAAAATTTCTCATATTACATAAATATTGTAACCATTAAAACAGCGGGGTAAGCATTATCAGTTCAAGCATACAATTAAAACCCAAGCTAAATATGTTTATTATCAATATTTTAATAACAAACATCAATAGCCAGTTCGAGCATAGAGTTTTGAAGCATTAATAGGATCCAATCCAGTCCATGTACACATTTTACCTACACCACATATACTCTTTGTCATGAATAGGGTAATAAGGGGACCAGCGGAGGACTGTTGATGAACTTTATGGAGACCAGCAGGGTAAGCATTATAAACTGATCTAACAATTGAATGCAGCCTAAAGAAATCTCAATTTCCTCAACCTTTGACTATTAGCATTTTGACCTCACCTTCTTCTCCCATGATGTACAAGTCACAACTAATCTAGAAATTCCAAGCACAGGTCTAGTGACAATTACATCATGCCAAGCAAAGAAGCAATTGATGCTTGAATCTTGATGTGCAGCAAGTAACAATTGCCAGGTTCAGGTCAGTAGAAATGCCGTTAAAGTTGAACTCAAATTTGCATTAAAACTTTGGAATCAGTACAGGGAATGAGAGAATTAAAGTCATGAAAAAGTTTCACAAACAACAAACAAAAACTTAAACAACAATAACAATTAGATTCTGCAACATCCTATCCTTTACAGAACTATCATTATTTAGTCTAGGTCAGAACATTTCTACAGCTCCTTGATAAGCATACATGAAGAAAGGATTAATGCAGTTGTCCTCCATTCTGTGGCACCGGTGGGTGTGCTGGTGGCGGCGGCGGCAGTTGAGCATCCTCTTTAGTTGTGCTAATGTCCATTGCTGCAAGTCCTTCTAACTCCTGGATTGCGTCAATTGCACTGATGTTGCTTTCACTGGTGAACTGAGGCTTCAGTAATGCAACCGCTTGCTTCACTCTCGATTGCTGCAATCAACATTATTCAATCATTAATGAACGAGGCTTCCACGGGCATAATTGCGTGTAACAAACTAGAAGTGATAAAGACATCATATGACTTACAAAGAATTCAAGTTTTCTCTTAAGATCTCCATATGCAGCAGTTAACGCCTTTGATTCAGCATCATCAGTTGTCTTGTAATAAAAAAGAAAACATGTCGGAGGACAATGACATTAGATTCAACACAAAGACAATCCAGCAGAACATAACGCATCAAACATGAAATGTCCAAAAACCATACGAAGGAAGTAGTTTTACCTTTTTGGGGCGACCCAAGGGCTTTCCAGTTGTGTTCTTGGGCTTGATGGGTTTAGCAGTGATCCCATCAATCTTGGGTGGTCGACCTCTCCGCTTTCCAGAGACCAAAACGCCGGCAACTCCAGCTGTGCCCTTGGGCCTGCCTCGGGGCTTTGGTAAATTAGGAACATCAACAATGGCAGTACTGGCATCAGGAACATCAGCATAAGGAACAGCCACGGGTTGACCCCGGATCGGCAAAATAGCCGGTGGAGGTAACTGGTTCAAGGCCTTAGGCGGCCGTCCACGGCCTTTTTTCATTGTATTAGCCCCCACCACTGACCTCAACGTCTTCGGTTTCCTCGGTCGACCGGGACTCTTCTTAGGCCCACTTTTGGGTGGACGACCCCGGCCCTTCCTAACCCCAAGTTGACCAACGTGCCCATTCGTTGTGGGCCTGCCGGGGCTTTCCTTAGACCCATCGGCAAGCGGAACAGCCAGCTGAGTGTTGAGGTCGGCAGTAACAAGTGTGGGTTTGGACTTGGGAGGCCGGCCACGGCGTTTGGATCCAGGAGAAGCGTCGGGAGGGTTCACCGGCGTGGAATCCAGAAGCGAAACTTCAGATCTAGCGGTGGAAGCCAGCATGTAAGATTTCTTGACCATAACCAGAAGACCGTTGTTTTTCAAGCGCTTCAAGTGGTGAGTCAACAAGGCCGAGTGTGTCGGTGGCAAGTCTTTGTAACCTAACTCTATGTACTTAGCTATAGCCCTTTTGCTGGACCCGTTCTTCTCTTTCAAAGCCCCAATCGCCTCGCATATCATGTCTGTATAAGGAGGGTGGTTGAAACTCGGCCGCAGACCGGTGACTGTCGTCGTTGGGTTGGCCACGACGGGGATGATGGGCGGGGGAGGGATCGGGGGAGGAGGGTCTATGGGGATGGAGAAGAAAGAAGGGTTCATTTTTGGATATGGTTGAAATTTTTGGTAGAGAGAAAAATGAAGAAAAAAAATGAAATGATAAAAATACAAAAGAGTAGCTTGTGATTTGTAATTTTTCAGTGTAAATGAAAGGAAAAGGAACATGGGCATGGGCGGGGAAGAATCGGGCCAAAACCCGGAGGATGGAAGTAAAAAAAAGAAATTGAAGGGTCAATTTGTGGACATAAATGAAAATTATGGTAAGTGTGTAATTTTGGTAAAGACCATAAAGAAAACAGGAAAAATGGCACCTTTTTAGGGATAAAAATGAAAAGAAATGGAAAATGAGAGGGAATTATATTGGTTTCGTTAAGTTTCCGTTGTTATCTGCAAAAAATTACTCCAGACCTCGGCTGACCAGGTTGACCCCACATCATTACAACGGGCATGGTTTCAGACAAGCTTTTGTCACGATGGAAAAATGGCTGATATTAAGGCTTCACAGTTGTTTGACCTCTGCGTAGGACATATTGTTGCAGTGATCTCTGAAGGATTACTGCAGTACAATCAGCAACAGCAGCAGCTCCACAAGCATAATCCAGGATCCAAAGCAAAAGATTCTCTATTAAAAAAATGGGATTTTCCTTTACTTTTTCTTTTCATTGAAACAAGAAAACCACTCAAAAAGATTCTCTCTGAAAATTCCTTACAATGAAGATGGCAAGAATTCATCTTTAAGAAACCTCCCTCAGAAAAATCTTTAAATCTAATCTGAAGTTACAAAAGAAGAGAAAAAGTTTTAAAAGAAAGAAAATTACAAAATCCAAGGAGCTTACTTGGATGACCAGTCATGGCTAAGGAAAGCACTGGACAAATTAAAAGTGCCATGATTGATGCAAGAGAGCAGAAAAAGGAAAGAGAAGGAGAGATGGAGCAGAAAGAAAGAGAGAAAGAAAGAATGAATGAAGATGGGATAGTAAGTAGTGACCGGTGATAGTGTCTGTATGATATATATAAGATGATTTATGTATTTATATTATATAAAATATTAAAATTTATGTATTTATATTATATTTTATATAAATATTATATAACATAATTTATATTAATATAAAAATATATAATATAATTTTTTATTAGATAAATATATAATAATTATTATAATTTTAAATTAAATTATTTTTATATTTTATTTTTATAACGTGTTTATATTATATTATATTTTAGATTAATAAGCGGATAGCTGAAATTATAAAGCTCTTTTTCAGTTTTTTTTTTGTGTTTATGTTCATGTTATTGCGCTATAGATCAGAATTATTGACATTTGACGTCCAATGCATAACCTAAATTTTTCGATTATTTCTCCGTTAGGCCATGGGAGGAGGCTCTGGAGCTCCAGATTATGACTGGTGAACTATTTGTTAGCACATTGAAACTGCTATTTAAATACAAAATTCCAAACATAACGCTTGTTATTTTTGTATTTTCATATTATTATGAAAATTATATCTTAAAAAATAATAATAACAATGTATATAACCTAAAATAAAATGGCAGAACTGTTTTCCTATAAATGTCTGGCCCTACATTTCTCATCTCTCTTGATAATTTCAAGAAAAAATTAAAGTAACCCGCCAAAAGGATAAGGTCGAAGCATGATAAATCACATCATTTAAAGAGTGAGTTGATGTTTGACACATCAAAAACATGTAAATGTGCCATTAATAGGTTCTATACTTGTGACTTGTGAGGTCATAAATAACAGTCATTTCGTTGATTAGTTCTAATCTTGTATATATTTGACTCAAGAACTGATGAATTTCGCTTCTTGTTATTTTCGTTTAGCAACGTATCAATTACTCAACGGATCATTCATATTTTTGTGCAAACTTTTCAAACAAGAACATCATCTTCTCACGACATATTGACTTGAAATAAATAACCTATGACTAAGCCAACAAACCAACCAATGAAAACCAACGTGCAATGATCCAAGGTTTTTCTTTAACTGAGTTTTAATCCAAAAGAATCTCTTTCCAAGATTCCTGATTATGACAACATAACTTTCTTTTTTTTTTTTTTTACTAATGGCCTTCTAAATTGTTTGTTCTTCTTTATTACTTGATCTTTTGCCAAGGCCTCCCTCAATCTGCAAATGTTGCAGCATTGTTTTTAAGGTAGTTCTCTGAAAGTTTCTGACCATTAAACTGGTTTAAGGTAAAAGCTTCATAGTTCTTACTTTCCAAACTTATTGGATTATTAGATTCCTGATAGTGATGACTGATAAGTATTATTATGTGTGGCCTACTGACTTTATTACTCAAGTCTATTTCATGTCTGTGCTGTTGCTTTTGGCGTTGGGTAACCGTAACAACCATTTTTGTTCCTTTCAATAACCTCCTTTTGTACCCTTTAGCTTTTTGGTTGCCTGTGTTTAGGATTTTTTTCTTTGCTTTGCTCTACTATTTGAATGTGGTGAGTGAGTAATTTAGAAGAAATATGATATTCATAGTTTGGAAATTTGAGTTTGCTGTGGGCTTTTTGTTCAGTTGACTTCTGAAGTCTTGTTCTGGATCTGTTTTTGCCTCGGGCTACGCTTGCTTTGCTGTCTGTTTGCTTGCATATTCTACATCATTTCCTTTATTATATTGGTTTTTCTTTTCTGGGAATTTTGTTGCCTTATCTTTCTGAAATTTGAGCTCTCAACCAGTCATTTCTGAGGCTGTCCTCTCTATATATGTGTTTTTGCTTAGATATAGTCTTCCTGTTTTCCAATGGTTGTTAGCTTCATCGGATGCCAATTGCCAGCTCCTTGGAGCCTCACTATGGTGTGTAATGGTTTTTCTGGAAACCAATAGGATTTTTAGAAATGAAACTGTTTCCTCTATTTGGGATTCCTAATTTTAGAGAATGTCCATGTAGGGCTTAACAGGCCAGTAAATCTACTAAATTTGACCAATTGAAAGACAGATTAGACACAGACTTCTTCTTTCTTACAGGATTATCCAGACATTGCATCCTTGATCTCTGTACCAATTGAGAGGGTTATTTTTATTGGTTTGAAATGTATCTGGTGGAAAGCAAAGGTGGTGCCATAGCCTGCATGCTGCTGGCTCTGTTCTTTTTGCGCACATGGCCTGCTATTATGACACTACTAGAGAGACGAGGTCGTCTTCCTCAACATACTTAGCTTAATTATACTTTGACAAACCTCTTGGCTGCTATAATTATGGCTTTAACATTTGGTGACGTTGGCAAGAGCACTCCTGAGCAACCAAATTTTATTGCTGAACGTTCACAGTTGAGTTTCCTCCATTTAAAGGGTAGAATTGAGAGTGAACGTAGCAATAAAAGAAAAAAGTAGACAATGAACTAGATAATCGAATGTCTGAAGATGTTAGATTATTATTCAATGCTGATAATAGAAGATGATTTGCCCCTAAATGATCAATGGCCCTTAATTGAAAATGGGTAGATGAAAGACAACATAAAGTTTAGGTAAAGAACAAGTTGCAGTTATATTAATTGATACCATGTAGAAACCAGAATTTCAGTGTTTGTAGTAGCATAAAGTTGGATTCTTCAAGCTGAGAGATGACAATAAGATGTTGTCTGAATTAGACAGAATTAGCTCCTATGCTCACTTGCATAAGTAAATTTGTAGTCGGTAACTTGTATGGATACTTCTGAAGTGATTGATATAGCCAGATACCATACTTGATTATCAGTAGCAAAGGTATTATATTACTTACAGCTGGATTTGAATCTTTAATGGTGATAATGCAGAATAATTGGCCTTCTGTTTGGTTTGCAATCGCCGGTGGGGTGGTTCTCAGCTTTGGAAATTTGTCCAAACAGTATGCTTTAGTAAAGCACATATCTCAGACATGGTTGGAGAAGGATCCCTAAGGGCATTTTGAGATAAGTTTTGATTTCTGTCTTAGCACCTTCGTTATGATTAGCATTGATGATATGCAGCTTAGGTTGCACCTTTGTTAGACCCTAGCTAGAGATTTTGTAGTCTACAAGAAGCATGCCACTGTATAAATTCCGTAGGTTGTTGCACACAAATGCTGCTTTTTACTAGTCAATTTCATCCCCAGATGCCTACACTGTATCATCCAATACTTGACCTGAAGTAGATTTTACTTGTCCTTTTCTACATCCTATAGTTCTAACTTCTAATGCGAAAGAACCGTATACGATACTTTGTCACGTTTAAAAGTTAAAACCTTTATTAGTTCTAATGTATAAGTTGCTAATTATGTTCTTTTTGCTCCACAAAATTGTTCCTTTTCCTCCGCATCAAAAGAGGCAGTTACCACTGAGGGTACAAAGCTCTAGCATTTTAATTACCTTGTTACTTACTGCTCACTTCATTTTCTAAGACTCCCTTTGTCAATGATCAGAACCAAAGAGGAGGATGGGTATGGTGTTGGGTCTAAAGCAATAAATACAACAACGCAAAAGTAATATATCACAATAAACTCATAATATTGGACAATAATCAACAATCAATAATGCATGAAAAATAAAGTACACCAAGATTTATGTGAAAAACTCTCAGTGTAGAGGGAAAAATCACGGGCCGCCAAAAAAATCTTCACTATCAAATAATAGATATACAAAGTTTTTCTCTAGTTAAAACTAGAGCTAATCAACAACTAGAGAGACAATTGAAGAAATCTCACTAAATAGGTGACTCAACAAATACACCATGGATTTGTTCCTAGATAGCTTCAAGCCAGATCTTCATCGTTCAAATATAGAACTCTGAATCATAAACTTGCTGACAAAGTTTCAGTTCAATCGGACCACGGATCGACTTCCATTCAACTAACTTTTCATTCTTTTTCTCTCTACGTTTCTTGCCTTTTCTTATTTCTCTTCTTGGTTTGATACACATCTTAAAACAACCCTACCTCTTTTTATTAAGCAACTAGGGCTCTATGTAAAAAAAAGACTAAGGCCCATGGCCTTTGATTGGTCCAAAACCAATTACATGGGACTGGATCCCATTTTCCTAACAATCTCTTCCTCTAGCCCCATTGGGAGGAGATTCATCACCATAGCAGTTTTATTTGGAACTTACCTTGACCAAGAAACTCATTTCGGCCAAGTTACTGCAAAGCTCAAGCTTCTCCTTAAGAAGTATCTTAGTCAACATATCTGCTATATTCTCATCAATATGGACTTTCTTCAACAACATCTGATGTTCTTCAATCACTGAATGTAACCAATGATATCTAATATCAATGTGTTTTATTTTAGCATGGTACATGGCATTCTTACTCAAATCTAAAGTACTCTGGCTATCACAAAATACTACATACTC